TGCTTATATTGGGTATGACTAAAATCACACGGGGAAGTAGGAATTACAGGCATGGGGAAGTAGGCAATGCGGTTGGGGTGGGATTCCACTGTTTGGACAACAAGGTTGTTAATTTTAATGATATTAGATAGTTCTTGAATGAGAATGGACCACATTCCATGGTTGACTCCCAGGTCCCGGGGGCATACAACTCCCAGCCAGGTTAGAATGTCTTTTCTTTAATCAAAACAAGGCAATCCCTGTTAATAGAGCATTTTTAACATTTCATGTAACTATAGCTAGCCCCCAATATCCTATTTTAGCCCTAACAATGTGAATACTTAACATAGTCAAATTCATAGACAGAAAACAAAACAGTGGTTAGCAGGAGTTGGAGGAGGTGGGAATGTGGAGTTCTTGCTTCAAGAGTACACACAGAGCTTCAGTTGGTGATAATGAAAAAGTTTTGGAGATGGATGATGGCGATGGTTGCACAACAATGTAAATGTACTTAATGCCACTGAACTGTACACTTTAAAAAGACTAAAGTGATCGATTTAATTGTGTATATTTTACCACAATAACAACAATAAAAAAAGAAGTGGGGAGGCAGTGCAGGAAAGATATAAATACCTGACTTGTTGGGTGACCACAGATAATTAACCTTTCTAGTCTTCAATTTGTTTATCTGTAAAGTAAGGGGACTGGATTAGATGATGTTTAGGTACCTTCCAACTCTAACAGTTAACAGAAAAATGCATGTTCTGAGGAGGAATTCATTCAGGGTTTCTATTGGGGTTCCACCACAATGGTCCAACACTTATGGAAAAGGTACATCTTTGGACAAGTGGTAGAAAAACTGACATTTACTACACTTTTTAAAAACGAATGTTAAAGTTGCCAGGCTTATTAAAATGCAAGCCTGTGCCCTGGCTGGTGTGGCTTAGTTGGCTGGAGCATCGTTCTGTAAGCTGAAAGATTGTGAGTTGGATTCCTAGTCACAGCACATACCTAGGTTGTGGGTTTGAGCCCCAGTCTTGGTCCATATAGAAGACAACTGACGAATGTTTCTCTGTCATATCTATATTTCTCTCTCTCCCTTCTTCTGTTTCTAGATATCATCTGGTAAGGATTAAAATATATATATTTAATATATAAGTGATATGAGGATGTCTAGACAAAAGGTCTAGGTGCTTTCTGATTTAAAAAAAAAAAAAAAATCCAGGCACCAATTAGAGGCTAGAGAAACTACAGAATAAAGTTGGTGAAGCTAATTATCTCAAATTTTGTGGGTAAAAATCTCATACAAATATCGTTTATATTTTAAGTAAATAAACATTTTAACATGCAATTTCTAATTACAAATATTTATGATCTCAAGAATACAAGTCAACATTCCTTGGAACCATTACAAAAAAAAACCCCTTTGTATATCACCAGAAAGCTCTTTGCTCTTTGTAGCAAATAGCCTGAGAAACTCAACTATATCATAAGCAACCATGAAACCATGGAATGAGTATAAACTTTATGGTTGCTTATATGTAAATATTCATAATATTTTTTCTTAGAAGATACTTGTTTAATTTTGTTTGAATTAATTTTGTTCTCATTCCCTATATTTGGCTGCAGAACCCTTTTTCAGTATTACTCTTAATATTCCATAGATCTATTGATCCAAATAGCATATTATCTGGGCTTTTGCTTATAATCAGGAAGTATAGATGATTTTAATGGGTCTCTTCCAGTCCCAATCCCCTCTGTGGTTTGCTTCTATAATAATTTGTAGGCAGTATTGAATTAAAGAACACAGGACTTATAAGTTTTTCTCCTCACTAAAAACCAGAAAGGGAAATAATGAAATGTAAATAGGAACACTAATTATTTTGATCTGCATTATGAAGGGATCAAGACATTTAAGAGAATGTTTCCAGTTGAGCCTTCCCACCCTACCCCGGAATGCTGGCATTCCTCATTGTACCTCTCCACATATTCACTCTTTCCCACAGATCGGGAACTGTCCCTGTATGCTGGTGACACCTATGTCTCCAACACCAGTCCAGACTTCTCACTTGAGCCTGGGGCCCATAGACCCAAGTGCCTACTGGTGATTGGAGGTGATTAGAGATGGGGGCAACCAATCACCCCAATTATCTCATTTCCAGGTTCTGATTTTAGAGGTATATTTGAACAGGAGCCTTCAATAACTTCTGCTTGCATCCCTAAAGAAGTCTTATGAGAGACTCTGGGAGCAAAATCAGTACCTACCAAGGAAGTATGAAAATCTGGCTGAGATTGAAGATTCTTATCCTTTCTGGGAAAATTGTAGTAGTTCTGTGCTTTAAATGCTAGCCTAGTTAGTAGCCATTTTAAAAAATAAATGAGAGCATAAGCTTTGGAGTCCTAAACTTGAGTTTGCATCCCAGAACCTTTTCTTGTGGCTGGCCTCAATCTCCTCATCTGTAAACCGGGGAGAAAATCACCACTGTTGGGATGTTGTGAGGATTAAATGAGTTAGTATATCAACTGGACCTGAATTTAATGGCCAGATTTAATTTAATTGATCTGTTTGTTGTGAGAATGTGTCTTCAAATGAAAATGTTTGTTCAAATGAGAATGTGTATACAAAAACTATTGGTAAATCAACAAATATTGCATAAACTGTTCACATGTGGGTATAGAGTTCAGTGTTTAGGACTTTGACTAGTGAAGGTAGTGGTAAAGTATGGTGGTGGGATGGTGTGTGTGTGTGTGTGTGTGTGTGTGTGTGTGTGTGTGTATAGAAATGGTTTAATGGGTTCTATGCTGAGCCCCTGGTCTATTGTTTTTGGTATACCTGAGCCTTTCCCTCTCTCTTCAGTTTACCTTTTCCTAAATCAGTAATCCTTAAACCTATTGTCTACCTGTGGAGCTCTTTAGGAACTATAAACCTCATCTCCTGGAGATTCTCATTCAGTAGATCTGAGTCAACCCTAATTATCTATTTTTAAAAAGTATATATATATATAACTGATTTCAGAGAGGAGGAGGAAGAGAGAGAGAAACATCAATGATGAGAGAGGATCATTAGTCGGCTGCCTCCTGCATACCTCATACCGGAGATCAAACCCGGCTGGTGTGGCCCATTGGTTGAGCATAGATCCATGAACCAGATCTCGGTTCGATTTCCAGTCAGGGCACATGCCTGGGTTGCAGGCTTGATCCCCAGTAAAAGGATGTCAGGAAGCAGCCCATGTAGTAGGCAGCCAATCAATGATTCTCTCTCATCATTGATGTTTTTCTCTCACTCTCCCTCTCCCTTCCTCTCTGAAATCAATAAAACTATTAAAAAAAAAAAATCTGGGATCCTTTCTATAGACCACAAAACTTCATGTAATCTGGCCCTTGGCTTACTTCGCCTCCACTTGCCCGTTGGCTCCGGCGGGTCTAGCCTATTGGTTGTCCTCCCTCAGAGCCTTTATACACGGCACTCACTTTGCTGGTTTATTCTCTCACATAACCAGGTCTCTAGGTAAAGATCACCCCCTCAGTGGCCTGTTCTACCTAAAAGAGCATGTTTCACACTCCATTTCTTACCCTGCTTTACTTGGTGCATAGCAATCATCACTACTTAGTCTTGTATCCATCTACTGCACTGGGATGCAGAAATGAACAAAACGGGCAGAGTCCCAGCATCCCAGTGCCTAGAAAAATATCATAGTAGACTGTCAATAACTACAGGGCATGGCGAAAGTAGGTTTACAGTTGTTCATATGGAAAATACAATAATGAATAAATAATAATACAAGAATAAACTGTTTTAGCACTTACTTTTGCCATGCCTTGTACCGTTTGACTGAGTGACTAAACACTCACCTTTCTTTCCAACAGGAATGCCAACCCCCTCTTACTTTGCTTTGTCCCTTTCACTTATCAACCAAGTCTTTGTCCCAGCCTTTGATGGGGCCCCAAGCTTTTCTACAAGGCAGGAATTCACAAAAAAAGATAAATATTGGAGACCCAAAAGGAAGAGAATATCTTCTGAGATTCATACCTTTTCACATAACTAATTCACTGGATTCTGGCAACAGTCCTGAGGTGAAGTTGCTGTTTCCATTTTACCTACAAGGAAACAGGCTTCAAGGAGATCCCACAACTAAGGGGAGGAACTGAGATTTGAACCTGGGCTTCTTTGTTTTTTTGAACCCAGGTTTTTTTTACTCATAATCCAAAATGAGGAAAATGAAGTTCTTGTTGGCATCATTGGAATATATGCCTAGGTAGGTAGGGTAGAAATTTGTCTTCTCTTTGTTTTTCCATAAATGAGACTTTAGGATTGCTGGGAGAGAGAATCTTGGAGGTCTCAACATACCCCCTTTCTAGTCTCAACGGAAAGTTTTTGGCTGGATGCATAATGGGACATTTCATTAAAGTTAAGTGGTAAGTACTTTAGAGAGTAGTTAGAATCGCTTTGCTTTTATTTCGTCCTTAGGTCAATATTTGGTAATCATGACACTATCAGGTTCTGTTTGCTTGGTTTGAGTTGTTTGGTAAAAGTCTTTCAGTTCCACTCAGTTTAATTCCTGGAACAATGGTATAACTGGTGTGGTTTAAATATTTAATCTATCACCACAGTCAACCAGATAGTCAACAGAAAATATCTAGAAAAGAATATCTTTTCAGTTTACCAAGTGCTTTTGTAAAAAGATTCTTACATCAACTTCATTAGTAATAGGGAATTAAACTTTGGGCACAGTGGCATGGGGGAGAGTTTTAATATGCGAATAAAGGAACAGAGGAATTAACTGCCCAAGTAATTGACTTCTTAGAGGAAGCCGATAATGAAACTAAATTCGGACTAAGGGGATTATGCTGTTTGAAGTGATAATTAGGATTCCTGTGTGTTCTGTATGTGTGAATGTGTCCTATATGGTGACTTAGGAAAATAAGAAAAAACTGACAAAATGAATAGGAAAACACCTTTAAATAAATAGGACTAATTTTCATATGATGAGATTCTAAAAATGTTCTTTAAATTTTTACAGATGTACATCCAAGGAAAATTACTATTTGCCAACTTTGTTTTCAATGGTTATAGCACATCTGCTAAAGATCTTCATAAGCAAATTGAAAAAACAAGGGGTGATTATGAGATGGGATATTTCCTACCCAGTGACTTCAGAATCAGGTAGAGTAACACACACTTTCTATCTTACACTTTTAATTAGTAAATCCCAGACAAGGCCAATTGTCTGGGATTTACTTTTGCCTTTATGAGTATTTTTTTCTTGACCTCAAACTTATTTTTGCCTTTACAAGTATTTATTCCTTGCCTCAAATCTTTTCTGGAAAGAGGTAGTTTATTTTAAAAGTTCAGTTCCAGGAAGACCACTTTCTTTTTAACAAGTAAATATTGCCAAGACTGTTAAACTAAGCTTAGAGTCAAGCCAATAATTCCTTCAATTACATAGCACAGAGTATGACTTGATGGATGTTAACTTTCTTCTTCATTCTGTATGTCTTTTCTGTCAGGGAGGTCATCTAAGTCAACAAATATAACACAATGAGAATGTACCTAATGGCTGACAGTCACTCTAAAGGGTGAAAATGTAGCTTTTAAACTTAATCTGCTGCTTTCACTCTGATAAATTATCACGTGAGGCATGTAAATGACCAAACAAAATTTAGTCCAATGAATCCAGGGCTTTCTTAGACAACTGCTGTCCTCTATGAACAAATTCTGAAAAACAGTAATAGAAGAAAAATAGGGACAGAAGAAAGAAAGAATTTCACCTTTGGCTAATTCATGTTGCAAACACCAGAATAAAAAAGGTACACACGAAAAAAGATACAAAGTACAGATTTTATTAGGGTCTTCTTAAGCTTAGGAGGAACAAAAATAATACAGACATATACAAATCTACTATTGGGTTCTTATAAAGTATTTTAAAACAGCTGACAAAAATGCAATATAGTAAAATATGTAAATCTATAACAGAAAGTATTGTGTTAAAAATTATAATCTTAAGTCTTTAGGAAGGGTGAGTAGTTCTATATAAAACATAAGTAGTCAAAAAGTAAAAATTAAAATATCTCTGGAAGAATATTTTCAAATGATATTTAAAAAAAACAAAAACCTAACACCCCCAAAGTATGTGAAGTGAAGGCCAACTTTGGAAGCTTACTGGGTCAACAAGCCTGAACTCTGTAAGACAGTTCATAAATTTCACATTTGCAGGGTTCATATTTAATAATGTTAAAAGAGAGAGTGCAAAGGCCCCCAAACACTGGAAACACATTGTACATACACATAAGATGAGTTCACACACTTCTGACTATGTTAAGAAATACAGTTAAATATGCTCACAGGTCAGTGCATTGATACAAGATTACTGATGTTATCATACAACTTTTTTGTATTTATGTGAATACAAAAAGTCATAAAGTCTATAATTATCCATATATAAGGCTCACATATGTAATTCTACATAGTTCATTAGATAAAGATGAATGAGAATTAAACTATAAGTTAAAAGTAAATTTATCCTATCTAATAAAGAGGGAATATGCTAATTGACCCTCACATCATCACAAAGATAGTAGCGCCCATAACCACAAGAGAGAAGCGTCCCGTCATCTCAGCCTCCCAGCCCCCCAGGGCCAGCCTAAGGTGCAGGCAAGCCTCGGATGGTGGCTCAGGCAGTGGCAGCAGCAGAAGTGTGGTGGGGTGTCACCTTCCCCTGATGGCCGAGTTGCCCCCTACCCCTGAGGGCTCCCAGACTGTGAGAGGGGCCAGGCTGGGGTGAGGGACCACCTCCCCCCCCTCCCCCCCCACATCCAGTGCATGAATTCTCATGCATTGGGCCTCTAGTAAGACAATAAAAGCATTTAAATCACTTGGATTTAAAAGGAATCAAAATATAAAGATCATTCTATCCAGTCTATTTTATTAAAAGAAATATACACATAGTAACATGTATAGTGTTTTGATTTATGCAAACAGAGATACTGTGCAAAAAGGAAAACATTGGGAGAGAAGGGTGGGGGAAAAAAAAAATATATATATATATGATTTACCAGGCAGAAAATAATAGATTAATAGATTTTATGGGATGAAGCATCTCTGTAATGAATATAGTATACAACTAATTGTACAGTTGAGTTCTTCAGTATTTTAAAGGATAACTATTGACCTAATTTTTCTGGTATGACCAGGCTTGGAGAAATAATACATTTTTTAGCTCCTTTCACATGTGGAGTCCCTGATTAGTCAGCAATTATTTCAAAAAGGGTTTAAACCTATAGAAATGCCAGTATTATCCAAAGTATACATTTTCAATGTGTATTATGACCATTTGAATTTGGGGTCATTTCAATCCTTTTCTGATATTCTGTCTTCCAAATAAAAAAATATATATATATGTGGCTATAGCAATGTCAAAGTTTTAATGTAAGACCATGTAATGAGTCAACAAGGTCAGAATATTTTAAAAATCCAGAGTAACAGGGAATGAAAAATCAATAAACATACTATTTGACAAAAAACCTTTGTAAAATGTGAGGTATTAGCCCATTTCCACTCTATCACCCTAGCTTGTTTTCACCAATGACAGCAGATTCTGCAATGTAGCCAACAATGTGTCCCACAAAGGATGGTGTATCTACAAATGATGCTAAGTATCTTCCCAGATCTGAACCTGAAAAAGCGAGTTCAAAGCAATGGTGGTAGATTCAAAAGAGTAAAAGAAAAAGGCAGTCTCCAAAAGTGAGAGCTTAAAATTACTAGCACTGGAGCCAGAGGCAAAGACCAATGCCTTTCAGAAACTATGAACAATTAGTTAAACGAGACTGATATTGAGTAGAAACTCTGAGAAAAACAAAAACAAGTAACTAATTTGGGAGAGAATGTCTTTGGGTGGCAAAGTTGCTTAACCTAAAAATAGAGATCCAATAATAAAAGCTACAAGTACAGTTTTCCTCATTGGCAAATATTAACAATATATTACATATCACTGTTTTATTGTGATAAATTACTATGTCAATGTCTAGTAATGCTTTATCTTGTTATCCACTCCCATCCTTCTAATTTTAGAAGGATCAACCAATCAATTCTTGCTAAAATGTGGGCACACATACAAAAAAGTGAGTCCTGATGGATGAAGGATGTCTCATTAACCTCAGGTTATCTTCAGTCTTCATACTCTTGATGGTCCAGGAATGATGCGCGAGTTTAGGTTGGTTCTAGGATAGGCCCAGGGGCCTGGTTTGATCTGGGATCCCTGGGACCATACCTAGAACAAACCCAAACAAAACCAAACTCCTTGGGAGTGTTTTCAGCTCAGACGTCTAGGCTTTTCACTCATGTGGACCTTCAGGGCTGTCTGAGGACCACATGCCAACCTTTTAAGGAATAGGTGTAATAGTTCTGGAGCTTTCTGCATGTTGCCATTTTTAAAAGCTTTATCACTTTTATTATGTGAATCAGAATATTACTCCTGTGCCGGAGTGAGCATTATTGAAGTCATAGTATGAACAGAAGGTACTACAGGTTGGTATAATATAAGTGCAGAAAATACTTTGATTAAAGAAGTGGGAGTTAATTTAAAACTTACTTGGGAGTGAAAAAGATATTATAAAATAAACTCATAGTACTAGATTTTGAGAAACTTTAAGATACAAACATGAGAGGAAATATCTATTTCTATAATATTTCACAGAATATACTCACTTTTAAAGTGCAATTAGAAGTACACACAAGTTAAACATTGTCCTATTGCAATAACATGTTTGGTATGTGCCAGATGAAAATCAGTAAATGGGAATGAAATAAACAAATTTAACTGCTGACAGTTAACATATTTTAAAATATAGCATTAAAAATATAATTTGCACTTTAATTCATCACACATTTTAGGATATTCATAAAATCAACTCATTCATGTTAAATGTTTGTATATGTGGATCTTGTAGAGCCACTTTTATCCCATAACAATACTCAAAGAGAACTTTTCTCCTTGTACCACCAAACTGAGTTTGGCATCATGATCATCTATTCTGTAATAGCAGTCTCAATTCAAGAAACTTTTTGGATTATCTGTTTTTTAAATAACTGTTGTGTCATAATTCCCTTCCAATAGCATGGATAATGGAAAGCTGACTATGGGGTATGGCCATAAAATAAGCAGACTGATTTTAACATATTATTACTAAAACACAACCGGCCTGTTGGTAAAACTAAGTTTTAGATGCTAGAATATCCCCTTCTAGACAGATTTGAATTTTACTTACAAACATTATAACATGCACATTTCATATTTATTTTTCATTCGAGAGAAAAATTATCATGCTTGATTATTTAACACATTAAATAATAACTTAAACATGCAAAATATAGAATGACAGTGGGAATTTAGTCATTCAAATATCTGTAAGTATCATTGTAACATTGATAACTTTTAGCAAGCTTTTAACATACAATCAATTGAATGAAAATAAAGATAATGTCTTATGTGATATCAATAATAAAAGTTTTCTTATTTTCCAGGGATCAACCTACTTCATGTTTTGGAAATTCAGATATACTTCTCTAAAAATAAAACATTACAAAACAACCTCACCAAAGAAATTCCTAACAGCATATGATATCCAGATCAAAGAGAAAGTACTGTAGAAAATGCTAATTTGAATGGACTGGTTTTAATAGGAATAAAAATATCAGAGGGTAAAAATACAGAGAAGGTAAAGTATAAAAACAAAATGGCTCCTTTTGTACAATGAAAGCCCTTCTACTTGGAGAGCAGGTACTGATTATAACTTCACTTATTTTCAGGATAGAAATTAAATAGGTACTAAAGTAATAGATGTTACCAAATTCATGCATTTAGTATAATCCATTTTTTTGGATCTTTACTGAGTCAATTTACTCTTATTTCCCACATTATTCTAGCAGTCTTAGCCACCTTGTTTTCAAAACCAAGCAGAGTAGAAGGGGAACTATGAGGATTGAGAAAGACACACTTAAGCAAGCAGAAATATAAACTAGAGAAATTAGAACTACTAAAAAACGAAGACAAGAAAATGAGAAAAAGCACAGCAGAATGGAGCCATTTGGTAAAGGGTATATAGCTCTCAATGCCTAATTAGTTTATCACAGCATAATTAACTACTATTAATAATGACCATTTTAGCATAAAAAGATTAAATAAAATGCATTTCATATATTGTTTAAGAAGATAGCAATGCATATTAAGTTTTAAAGACTCCCTTCAAAACTTATTTCAAAAAATTTTAATGCTTAATTTAAGCTTTATAGAAAACTGGGATATAAAGAAGGACTCATTCCCCCAAAATTCAGAAACCCAGTTCCTGGGTAATTCTATTAAATTACCCACACATGTTTAGTCTCAAACTAATAGTTCTAGAATATAAATCTTGATGAATAGAGTTGAAATCATGTTTACAGTGCTGTATGTTTTAAGTTTATACACTATACTAGGTACAACTAAGAACAAAATGTATAACATTGTCCTAAAATATACACAACGACTTATGCAAGGATATCAGTAAAATTTTTTTCAGAGCTGAAGTCATTAATGGAGAATTCTAGAAATATCAATATATAAAAACTGAATTAATATTACTTCAAATACATGGCAATCACATATACAACCAAATGTTTTTAGCAAGTTTAGTGAAGAACTAAGAGGCAAACAAAAGTATGATGAGCAGCTAAACAGATTCCATAAAGTCCACGCACGCCACTGACAGAAAAGCCCCACAGCCTTCTTTCCGTCTACTTACTCTCATTTTAGACACAATTCTAGCAAGCTTGGCAATCCCAGTCCACAGCAGGTTAGAAGCAGCAAGTTAGGGGCTAGTGCAGGATGCAGGCACAGAAGACAGGAGCAAAAAGTGACAGCTGATTATACGGGGAAAACAGAGAAACTGTGAAAAACAAACATGACTCAAAAGCAAAGCAAAACAGGATCAGGCAGGAAAGGCATTATATATCTAAGGAGCGGCATGAAGGCGAGTTTCTGATTATCACCCTATCAGGGGTCCTCAAACTCTTTAAAGTGGGGGCCAGATCACGGTCCCTCAGAGAGCTGGAGGGCCGGACTATATGAACTACTAATTCCTACTGTAACACCTCGGCTGCGCTCACTGCCCAAAAAACCTGGCGGGCCGGATCAGACTCCTCTGCGGGCCGCATGTGGCCCGCGGGCCGTAGTTTGAAGACGCCTGCCTGATGCTCTTAAAGATGACCAAAAAAAAAAGTTAAAATTATATTCTAAATACCCTAGAAAAACAGTAGAAAGTACATTGTAGAAAATTTCGCACTGTACTGTTAAAAAAGTTTATTAAATGGATTTGACTCAGTTACCCAAAAAATTAACTTAAACAAGTTAGTCGTCATCAATGATTACAGATAAATCAACTGTTACTATACTTAGGGTATTTTCTCCTCTAAAATATTTATAGTTTCATTTTCTAATATAATGTAAATTGCACAGATACGTTCTTATAAATAAAAAAAATATAACAACTTTTATGCTCTGTTTAGTTGTCAACCATGGCATGATACCTACTTTAACTTAAATAATGAGTTGGCTGAGCTATACCGTACTAATCTTACGGTATTTAGTTCCTGTTTCCTTGTTTTGTTTAGGTATAGAAACAATGTACTATGATTAATCCAAATTAATTGAGCCTTCCTTCCCACATGATTTCTCAATAATTTATCAAAATATTCATATTTTATATTAGTGATGGGGTATGAGTGAAATGACCTCCAAGATCCCTTAACACTTGATTTATAATTTTGTGAAATGTAGAAATTTTATATTTTTATCCTTTAATGTTAAAAGCTTTACTATTTTTATTATGTGAATCAGAATTACTATTTTTAAATGAAAATTGAAATTTTAATTTTTGACTTATTTTATGAATATTTATAACCAGATCTTGTTTCTTTGGCCCCTTGAGTGTGGGCAAGTCTATTTTGAAGAAGTGGTGTTAGAAGAAGTTTAAGTTGAAAAAATTTAGCTCTCAAAAGAAATTTCAATCATTGTACTGTTGATATTTGGCTCTGTTGACTAATGAGTTTGCCGACCACTGATCTAGAGGATTTGGGTTTTGCTGGAAAAACTCCCTGTGAAGTTATTAAGTTAACTGTATCCATAGCTTTTAAATGATGAATCTGTGATTTAAACTCAGGCTTATCCTTCTGCATAAAACCCTTAAACCAATATTCTTAAATTTCCTTACTAATTTGCCTTAAATGTGTTTCTTTTGACCTGCTTGTCTCCCATAACTTCAAACTTGAGTCAATGTATTATTTCCCAATAAAGTATGTTCAGATGCTGTAAGTACAATTAGACTTAAGAGGATTTCACTTACGAGGTCAGATTAAATAGAGAAAACTTGTAAAAATAAGCAGAGGACCACAAATCAAAGACTAGGAAGAGTCTGGCACTAGTCAGGCTAGATTGGCTTTTTAATGAAAGCTGAAAAGAAAAGAATTTAAGATATAATTGTCACCAGATCATTTATTGCCATGACTTTCCTAACTATAGACAAAACACAAAAATTCTGTATCCAAGACTGACTTGGTTTTTTTCATACATTCTTACATAAAATACTAGGTCTATAACAAACTATGGAAATGTTCGTATTAATAGCTGTCAGCCCTGGCCAGGGTGGCTCAGTTGGTTGAGCACTGTTCTATCCACTGAAAGGTCGTTAGTTTGATTCTAGGTTGCGGGCTCAATCCCCAGTGTTGGGGTGTGCGGGAAGCAGCCGGTGGATGTTTCTCTCTCTCTTCATTCCTCTCCCTCCCTTATTTCCTAAAAATCAATGAAAACATATATATCATATTTAAAAATAAAAAAGATAAAAGCTGTCAGGATATTACTCCTAATAAGTATTATCTTGTCAAAATATTATTGTAAAACTTGGAAAGCACAATTCAAATTTTCCCCACAAAATATTTTCCCCAGAGGGTTTACTTTGGATGTGGGATGGTAGCTATTAAAACTAGTCAAGAGCTTAATAAGATTAAGTGAAATATTCTCAGGAAAGTAACAAACAAGGATATCTATTTATATTACATTGGCATGTTTTACTTCTTCATTGGAAAGAGGCATAAAGTCCAACATAGAGGTTCTTAGAAAACACCACCCAGGTCTTATTCCAAAATGACTAAGAATAATTGGAAGAATGCTTCTACGTCTGCATTTTAAAAACAAGACCTCCAATTTGTTCTAATATAGGTGCCTCATGAAAAAACTGGAGAAACACTGATTTCTAAATTATTATCAATTAGGAATTTTCACAGGAAAGATAATATTTTATCTTGGAAATATTTTGATAGATGAAAGAAAATTTGAAAATTACACATACCAGAAAAACATTGAATTAAATTTTAAGATCCTTATGATTTCATCAAGCAAAATTTTCAGTGAACTTAAGTAACTAGTGAATAAAATAGATCAGACTGGAAAATTACAAATTCTTAAAAAAAAAAATAAATATATATATATATATATATATGTATATATATATTGTTATTGACTTCAGAGGAAGGGAGAGGGAGAGATAGAAATATCAATGATGAGAGAGAGTAATTGATTGGTTACCTCCTGTCCCCCACTGGTGATTGAGCCCGCAACCTAGGCATGTGCCCCTGACCAGAATCAAACACGGGATCCTTTAGTCTGCAGGCTGACACTCTATCCAGGGCAAAGATTACAAATTCTTTTTTTTTTTTAAATATATATTTTATTGATTTTACACAGAGAGGAATTGAGAGGGACAGAGAGTTAGAAACATCGATGAGAAACACTGACCAGCTGCCTCTTGCACACCCCCTACTGGGGATGTGCCCGCAACCAAGGTACATGCCCTTGACTGGAATCGAACCCGGGACCTTTCAGTCTGCAGGCCGATGCTCTATCCACTGAGCCAAACCGGTCCCAGCAGATTACAAATTCTTGATTAAATTAGCCCTTCACATTTGAATAAAACTGGTAGAATATTATGAAGATATTTTTCCCACAGTGTTTTAATAAAAAACAAAATATAATGAAATTGAAAAATATTAATCTCAAATTCTTCCTGTGTAAGGTTATAGATTAAGAGAAAGATTATCAAACTTTCCCTTATTTCTTCTAAATCCAAGGAAAAAAGTCGTCCACAAACTAATTTAAAAAGGAAGTAAACTTGCCCTAGCTGGGTGGCATAGTTGGTTGAAACGTTGTCCCATACACTGAAAGGCTGTATGTTCGATTCCTGGTCAGGGCACATACCTAGACTAAGGGTTTGATCCCTGGTTGGGGCACCTATGGGAGTTAGCCAGTGGATGTTTATATCTCTCCCACTCTTCTCTCCACTCTCTCTAAAATCTATGAAGCATATCCGCAAGCGAGGATTGAAAAAAAGAAAGTAAATTGTAAATGTTATTACTATTTCTGAGTTGTAAACTAGGCCTACTCTGAGTTGTAAACTAGGCCTCCTAAGAGCTTAATTATGGATGTCACAGAATTTTTGGCAACTGGCAGTATAATTTATAATACTAAGGATCTCTATCATTCATGTAAAGCAGAAACAAGTTTTTCCTCAGGATAAAAAATAAATTTCTTTAGACTATTGAAAAAAACCCATAAACCCTTTGGTATGAAAATTTACTCTAAGTGCTAAGTTGTAGGAGTCTGCATGTGTTTCTTAACTCTAAAGACAATTTAGATTCATCATGTAACTTTCTTTCTAGGGCAGCAGCATAATGAATTATCCCTACATTTCCTCCATATAACATCTACATACTATGTCAGTACTTGGAAGCTATAGGTTTCAAAAAACAACATACTCCTGAAAATATCACTCTGTGAAAATGAAATCATGATCCTGGCAGGGCAGCTCAGTTAGTTAGTGTCACCCCCGAAAAGCCAATGATTTGATATCATGTCAGGGCTCATGTAAGTATCAACCAATGAATGCATGAATAAGTGGAACAACAAATCAATGTTTCTCTTTCTCTCCCTTCCTACATCTCCCTCAAATCAATAAAAAACAACAAACAAACAAATAAATAAAATGTAATCACAACACAAAACAAAACATGCGACTGGACAATTTGGAAAGCAACCTTTTTTAAGAGGTAGTTTGTAAATGAAGTATTAAGGAGACAAGGATTGCTTTCAAGGAAGCTGACAGGATGTTTCCAGAATCTTATTCAGGTGGAGAGAGGGAGTAGCCTAAAACAAGAAATCAGCAGCATGGTGGCCAGCTCATCTAGACAAACTGATAAAAAGTTGGAGATGAGGTCTTGGACCACGGAGATCCTACTTTTGAAATCAGCTCTTCTGATTGCAATGAAAACAGAAAAAGGTAAACACACAAAAATGTAAAAGGATAATTCTTAAAATGGCACACTTTAAAAAAAATCTTAAAATTAACTGCTGAATACACATGAACAAGGAAAACATAAGAAACCTGTCAAAACCCAAGTACTTTTAAAATAAAATTATTTTTTCATTCCAAACCCCCAGTACACATCAATTGCATGAGATCTTTTTTTAAATTTTATTTAGAACCTGTATCTTTGTTTTAAGACGTGGTATAAACAAAAGTAAGATACAAACAACTTGTTATTAACATAATAACTGCAGTTAATAACTGTGAGAAAACAGTAAAAAGGAGTCATATGTTCTTGCGACAGAATTATCCCAGTCATTTTGTGATAGCAAATTCTGGCAAGAAATGAGAAATTCATTTGTTATGAAAAGTACTTAAAGAACTTCCAAAACTGATCAGTTGTGCTGCAAGTAAAACAGCAATTATTCAAAAGAGCCCTTACCTTTCTCTTACTGTCCTAAAAGATTTGCCATACTGGTAATTACTATTTTCAAAACAGTTGTTTAAACCAGATTCTTCCTGTAAAATCATACTGTAGCTTTATATATAATAAACTTATACTCATTTTCCCTTTCCAGTGGAATATCTAGTCTTGAAGCTAAAAAACACTTTCATAAAAGGAATAATTTAAAATCCTTCATGTAAATCATGGTTCTTCCTTTTCTTCTACCTCACTTTTATTTTCTTCTATTAATTGTTCTTCCTCTTCATCACCAAATGTCTGTTCCTGCATAGTGGTAAAGGAGAGAGACCGAGCAGCCACTTCAGCAGCGAGGCCAGCAGTGAAATTGAAATCCGGTGACAGCTGCAGCCTTGCCAGCCTCTGCCTGATGGAGGGCTGTGGTGAGTCCCTGGGAACTGGATGGGCAGCGATCAGGTCACCAACATCTGCCTGCTGAGAGTCATCTTCACTTTCCCACAGACACGCTCTTCCTTCAGCTCCTTGTAGGAAGCCTTCATGTGTAAAATTGTCTTTATTTTTACCATCTAGAGGGTTTTCACACAAATATTCAGTCCTACTACATATTTCATCATCAGTTATGGAGGGATTACTATTTTCTTCTTCAATATCATTTTTACCAACTTTCCCCATATCTGAATCCATTGATGGTTCTGAATTACTTATGGGTTCCATTGGGTCTACAGGAGACAAGGATTTCAAAACAGCTTTAAAGGGGAAAAAAGCAAAAAAGAAAGAAAGAAAAATAATAACTAAGGACCCAGAAATGATTTAAACTTTGATTTAAATTCCCAGTAGATTTTTTTCTTATAAAGAACAATAAATAAAGGCTAAATAAAACTTTCTAGTAAAATCAATATAAATTTGTAAATCCAAAGAACTTTATAAGAGATAAAATGCCTAAGAAATAAAATAAGACAGGGTTACGATGAAGATTTTAAAACACCTCATGTATTCTCTTATCCAAAATATTAAAGCATTGGTTCTCAAAGTGTGGTCCTTGAACTAATAGCATCAGTCAGCATCCCCTAGGAATTTGGCAGAAATGCAAATTCTCAGGCTCTACCCGAGACCGACTAAATTGAAAGATTGGGTTGGGGACTAGCTATGTTGATAAGCCTTCCACCTTGTACTAATAAATACTAAATTTTGAGGACCACAGCATTGAAAAATAAGCAGCATGGCTTTCACTGATAATATGTCAGATAAAAAGCCTAAGTATTCCAGATAATCATATTTTCAACACACACATATATATGTATAAGTTAAAACAGCATTGAAAAACAAACGGAACATACAATTCAATTTACTTGCCAACTACCTAACACCCTGATAAAAGTAAAGCTGAAATTTCTATACATTTTGTAATGTCACTGAAAAATATATAATGAAATAAAATCTGCACTCAAGACCAACTACTGTACAAAGCATAACACATAAATATAAAATATATCCATACGGCAGAAGTTGTCCTTTCAAGGCAAATGAAGTTTTATTTAGCCCCTCTTGAAGTTAGTAGGCAGTGGGTTGCTTGCTAGGCAGTCTCTCCTCCCAGTATGAGGGGTTAGTACAATACAATATATTATGAAGCATGGCGGAAAAATAAAAAAGTACATCTTGAAGATCTGGCATTTATTTAAAATTATTTTGTAAAATGTGTCCATTTGCAAGAAACAGATCCCTAAGCTGCAGTAACTCCACTGGAGAAGCAGTGACAACAGGTTCCAGTGCAGAATTTCCCTCTCTAATTCCATTCGGACTTTACCCCTGTAGGCAGAGATGAAAACAACTCTGGAAGATGTACCAAAAAATTTCATGGGAAAAGCACTTTACAGTATCAGCAGCTTTTTACTTAATTTCACAAATTAAATCAACATTATTGCCTTTTCAAATGTAAACTATCAAAGCACGTACCTGAAAAAGAGACACATTTCTCAGTGCTCTTTGCCCATATTGTCAATAGGTAATTTTAAAGCTACATGAAGAAAATACTAAACAATAAAAAAGGATACAAGTTTATATATAATGCTATTTTCAGTCTTCACATGCAGTTTTAATCTATAAATATGCTGGTTTAAAGAATGCAACATAAATTAGAAGTTGACTGATATTCCTGATAATTGCTAACTAAATTGGGGAGGAGGGGAGTAATACAAGTGTATCAACACTATGCTAGAATATAAGCCTCCAGGAGTGTGGGATTTTTGTCTCTTGATTTATGTGTTAGGAATAAGTAACAATGAACAGTGTGTTAAGAATTACTTGTTGAAGAAATAATTTGCTGAATGAATACTATGAAGCATAATAAAGCCCTTATTTAAGGAGACTGTATTATAGAGACAAAAAAAATAAAATATCCAACGCATAGAAAATAACAGTGCCTAAAACATTAATGCTCTTACTCTCTGATTTATGTAGGCCCAATATATAAACAGGTAACAGGAATTCAATTTTTACTACTACTTTGCTGCTCAGACTTGCTTTCATTTTGCTACAGTGCCCTTCTGGAATGAGTGTCTGCAGTGGTAGGAAAGGCGGCAAGGTTGGGAGTCACTGAGGAGACTGGTGGAGAGAACAGCCTGGAGAGAGAAATGTCTAGTAAAGGGATGAGCATGAATGTTTTTCATGAATAAAAATAGCAAATTTGTGGAACCATAATCTAATTAGATAAATATAACTGGAGGAAGATATCTATATTAGAAATAGTGGGACATACGTATAATTGGGTATGATGGACTCATATGATGGAAAGGCTTAACACTAGGAAAAGGAGTTTAGATGTAATACAATAAAAAAGGGGGCACTACTGTAGTTTTTTGTTGTTGTTGTGTGTTAAAATATATTTTTACTGATTTCAGAGAGGAAGGAAGAGGGAGAGGGAGATAGAAACATCAATGATGAGAAAGAATCATTGATTGGCTGCCTCCTGCACGCCCCCCACTGGGGATTGAGCCCGCAACCCAGGCATGTGCCCTTTACCAAAATCGAACCCGGGACCCTTCAGTCCGCAGGCCGATGCTCTAGCCACTGAACCAAACATGCCAGGGTTACTGTAGGTTTGTTTGTTGTTGTTTTTATAAAATATATTTTATTGATTTTTTACAGAGAGGAAGAGAAGGATAGAGTTAGAAACATCGATAAGAGAGATTCATCGACCAGCTGCCTCCTGCACACCCCACACTGGGGATGTTCCTGCAACCAATGTACATGCCCTTGACCGGAATAGAATCTGGGACCTTTCAGTCCCCAGGTCGACGCTCTATCCATTGAGCCAAACTGGTTTCGGCCTACTGTAGGTTTTTAACCTGTTAACCGAGTGGGACATATAAATACGTCAAACGTAAACAATATCGGGTATGGTTTAGGTCGTATGAATATGTCCTTGAAATATATGTTGCGCCCTGAAACGGGCGGGACGTATATTTCCGAACAACAAAGGTATTAGTCATCCATACATGTCTCCACATGAATTTAAGACACGGAGGGAATCAGTATAATTTCGCTATTGAGAGTGGTGGACGTGTTCTGGGTGAGCAGTGATGGGTACGTACTTACAGTTACCTACCTATTTTTGTATTATATATTATTTACTTATATTTTTTTATATCTCCAACCTTTATATAATAAAAAAAACATATAAAATTGATCCAATCATCAATTAATTTGTCAGAAAAGTATAAGTTTTTATGTATGTGAACGAGAAATATGCGTAGATAAATCTCTTTTATTAATGGAAAGGGAATTTAACTTGGAAATAATATATATCTACAAAAAGAGCTAGATGTGGAATGAAGTTGTTTATTTTGAGTGAAAGCCAATCTGGATACGTACAAAATATAATTTTATACACAGGCAAGGACACAAATTATGGTTCGAACTACCCACAAGAAAAACAATTAACAAGAATTGTTTTGGAGTTAACACATGACTTACTGAATAAAGGGTATAGGATTTACTTAGATAATTTCTATCCGTCAATTCATTTGGCTGAACTCTTGTGTCAAAACAATACAGACATTGTTGCAACAATGAGGATAAACAGAGTCGGAATCCCCAGTGAAATAAAAACAAAAAAATTACAGAAAAATAAACATATGTAAGTATCAAAGACAAATTTATGGTTTTAAAATGGAAGGATAAAAAAGACGTATTGATGCTCAGTTCTATTCATAATGATGAAAAGACAATGATTGAAAAGAGAGGAAGAAGGCAAGAAAAACCGAATGTTGTCCTGGATTATAACAAGAATATGGGCGGCGTAGATTTGGGAGATGGAGTTATGGTGGCCTACACGGCTGTCCGTAATAGGGTAAAAAAAATTTACAGTATAAAATTTTTTTTCTACGATTAATTGATATGTGCTGCTTCACTACATATATTATATACAAAAAAAGATAAAGGTCATTTGGATCGATTACACTTTTTGATAGAGTGTGTAGAGAAATTGGTAGATAACAACATAGTGAAAACCCACCCAAAGACATCAACAAGCAGGCTCTACATCTAAACCATCACGCTTAGTTGAAAGGCATTTTCCAGAGCAAATGAAAAGTGATATAGGAAAAACTAAATCCAGGAAATGCCGAGTTTGCTACAAAAAAAGTGTTAGGAAAGAATCTACATACTAGTGTCCGGATTATAAGGTAGTACTATGTATCAACAATTGTTTTAAAATATATCACACGGAAGTTGAGTTTTGAATTTTTACATCTATATTTCAATTTTTTAAACTCAATATTTCTATTTTATTTGTGTGCTTTGTTTATTGTTCTGTAATTGTTAACTTTTTTATATTTTTTATTGTGTATAGAAATAAAAAAATATTTTTTGTAATCTTTATAATTCTTTATAAAATTTATAATTTTTTAATTCGTTGTTTCCATTTTTTGGTAGGTATTCTTTTCTATTTGTTTGTAATTTTGTATTTTCCTTTATGCTTCATATATAAATAAATGAAAAAATACATATTTCATTTATTTTAATTAAGTATAAATAAAAAAACATAATAATATAAAATTACGTCCACTGGGCGTGACGTACTGACACGTCCTAGTGAAAGAGTATGTGCCCGTTGTACGTTGCGTAATTAAAAAGGGAACTCCCCGGTTAACAGGTTTTAAGTAGAGAGCTATTGTCAATTTGCTGTTTGAGAAAAATCTAGAGCTTGCAAGGATAGAAGCTATCTTCGAAGCTTAGACACTATTTCTAAGAATAGCTTAGAAGACAAAGATACTGAAAATGCAAGTCCGCTAAGGCTATTAAAATACATGAGCATAATCTAATGAGGACCTGGGCTATAAAAGAGGTCAATGGAAAGAAGGAGGAAGGATAAAATTAAAAAAATGTACGTGTGGACAAAGGAGAATCAAAATGGTAGGGCTCCTAAGAGGACGCTGAGGAACTTTCCAGAAGTTAACTAATTTATATATTTCAAGTGAAAAAGAGAAAGGGAAAAGAGGGCAACTGATTTTGAGGCTCTACATACTTTAAAATAGATGGGAAGTCCCTCTACCTTCTAACAAATTAGCTAGTTTAATATTGTCAAGTATTAAGCTTCCTCTCATTTCCTTCCTTACCTCCTAAGAAGCTCAGCTAAAGACGGGTGGGAAACATAAAGAAGTTAAGGTTAATCTTAGGTAAAACCAGCTTTGTCCAAATCCAAGCATGGAAACAAGTGTGCACAGAAACAAGCCCTCAATCCCATCTCCAACAGCACTCAAATCACTGAGAAACCTAAATGGTGTAGCTAAGGGCCTAAGTCTTAGTTCATTTGTTTCAATTGTGAACCCAATTATTTGTTTTTCACTGAGGTATTTATAATATCAACATAAGGAGTACAGAGTTTAGAATCTCAAATACACAAAATTTGAAAACACTCTAATTTATTCAACTTACTGTTCATTCCAAAACAAATTCAGTCAAAAAATCAAATAACTGATGAAAAGTGTGATTTTTATATCTCATTTCATTACATACATACTCTTTAATTGAACAAATTGATTTTGTGTCTAGAAGAAAAAGTACTATACTTACTGGTGGATCCCTAAAATTAGAGTCATAAGAATTCTGTGACCAAAATAAGATTCAGTTAAAGAAAAATCCCCTACACGGAAATAACCTTTCACTCTGAAGTCAGTGCTTACCGTGGTCACTAAACAGAAGTTGCTTCCACTTCTGCCTTTCTGCCTCTGATGCTTTGAATCCCAGCACAGATTTTAATTCTTGGAGCACCCTCTTGGATTCTTCATGCTCACGCTTTTGTCTCTCTTTGTCTTCTTGAGACAAGTAATAAAAATCATCCTTTCTTAACTCACTGTCCATATCTAAATCATCTACATAAGCTTCTAATTCCTGAAAATGAATAAATGAAAAAGAACTTTACTTCAAGCAGATAATTTTCTAGCAGTATTCATTTTTTTGCACCTACCCTTTTCCAAGATTAAAAAAGGAGGGCTCTTAGCACAGGTCAGTAAAGCATAGTTGGGCAAACAAAGCAAACATAGATAAGTGGACATCTTAAAAAAAAAAAAAAAAAAAAAAACAGCTTAATTTGATACTCTAAAGGGTTTTAAGTAAGAAAGTTTAATAACTCAATCGTTATTTTCCTACTCTGATACCATTCTACAGACCTAGTAAAGATTACAGTGATTAGCTCTGTCAAAACCAATCAAAATTAGCCAGGCTGGTGGTTGGGGAGGTGGTCAGGTACGTTAGTCCTCTTGTGCTAGAATTTGTGGTGCTTTCTGAGGACCCAGGAAGTCTGAACACTATTCCTGGATTGTGGAATACCTCATTTATTGCTCTCTATATCACTAAGGCAGATGGAAGGATCCCTGCTTACCCAGACTCCCTTGCAGTTATGGTTCAATCAGATGTATCTGGATCAAATCTGATTCAGAAGTATGTTATAAAAGAAGCAGGCATCCCATGGAATCCACTCTGGTAAGAATGGTGGCAGAAAAGTTTCCAGAGGCAGAGTTCTGACGGTAGCATGAAGGAGCAGGTGACAATGTCTGTGCCCAGTGACTTACAGAGGTGTTGCCACTGTAAAAGTTCTTTTGAGTGATTTTAGCCTTTTACCCCAGCCTGGCTCAAGCCTGATTACTTGGCCCTCTGAATGTTCTGTGAGGTATCTAATGTATTTTTTAAAAAATTTATTCTTTGTTTAAGTAAGGTTGGTTTCTCTTTGCAATTAAGGATACTGAATAGACTATAAGACCTAAGGAAAACTTCTTGAACAAAAGAAATCTGTCAATATCGAAAGTGAGGCATAACATAATTGCAGTCAAATGCACAAGATAAATGTGTAACATTTTTAGGTGTATACATGGTGGTAACCACTACTTAGATCAGTATAAAAACATTTCCATCATCTCAGAAATGTACCTTTGCCAAGGCACTATTTTTTAATGTGCTTAATCACTTTAAGCAGGGGTCCTCAAACTTTTTAAAGTGGGGGCCAGATCACGGTCCCTCAGAGAGCTGGAGGGCCGGACTATATGAACTAATTCCTACTGTAACACCTCGGCTGCGCTCACTGCCCAAAAAACCTGGCGGGCCGGATCAGACTCCTCTGCGGGCCGCATGTGGCCCGCGGGCCGTAGTTTGAAGACACCTGCTTTAAAGTGTCTAAGAAATGGATTGAAATTCAAGGCACTAAGAACTAATGATTTGATATATATCAATACATTATATTGTGATTTTGAAGCTCATTAGAAACATAAATTCAACGATGTCACTTACAGAGAGCAGTAGGTAAGTTTCATATATGAAACTCTCCTTTATGGGAAACAAAAGCTATTTTCACCCTTACCTGCTCCTCAGGGATTGGATCTTGGTCTGCAATGTGTAGAGTAGGCTGCAGCACGGGCACCACAGTACAGCGTGGGCTTTCACACGCTATTTCAGGTTTGCCTTTAAAAGAAACAGGCCACACAGAAACAAGTGAATATTTGATTAACAACCAAAATACAACCATTACCTCAAAACAGTTATTTATACTGCCTCTTTATACCATATTCCTCCTTCCATATCTAATTCCCAGTAACCATTGACATGTTTTCTGTTCCTATTAAAGTTTACTCTTTTAAGAATTTCATATAAATGGAATCATATAGAATATGGTGATTTAAGTCTGGCTTCTTTTGATTAGCATAATGCATTAGAGATTCCTCCATCTTTTTCTTATTATTTTGTTAATCCTCACCAAGAATATTTTTCCATCGATCTTTTTTTTTAGTGAGAATGGGAGGGGGAGAGACAGAAGAGAGAAATGTCGATGTAAGGGAGACTCATCTATTGGTTGCCTTTCACACATGCCCTGACCAGGGCTGAGGATCAAATCTGCAACTGAGATATATGCCCTTGACTGGACTCCAACCTGAGACCCTTCAGTCTGCGACCAATGCTCTGTCCACTGAGCCAAAGTGGCTAGGCTCCTCCATCTTACTGATGTATCAGTTTATTTCTTTTTTATTGCCGAGTTGTCTATTATATGGATGGAAGTAACAATTTATCTATTCACCAGTAGAAGGGCACAAGCTTCTTTTAGGTGTTAGTGATTATGAATAAATCCACTATAAACATTTGAGTATAGGTTTTTGTGTGAACATTAAGCTTTTATATCTTGGGTAAATATCTAGGAATAATATTACTGAGTCATTTGGTGTATGTGTATGCTTAACAATGGGAAAAATTTTGATGAGGAAAGGGTATTTATATAATCTTACAGTATTCTTTTCACAAAATACTTATAATGACAGAGAAGAAAGGCTAAAGGAGAGTAAGGATCACCAAAACTGAATGCCATGTGTGATCTGTACCTGGACATTAGAAAAGTGCAAACAGAAGTATTTATAGGTAATGAGGTTTCATGCCTGCATCTTTACTCTCAAATGGTTAAGAATAATATCACCAAAGGAATTTACATATAGATACATAGATAAGGCAAATGTGGTAGAATGTCAACAACTGGGGAATCTGGATAAAGAGTACTGTGAACTGTTCTTGTGATATTCCTGTAATTTTGAAGTCACTTTACAAGATAGTACAGTTAACTAAAGCACCTGCATCTAAAAAATGCAAAAAAACACTTTTTAAAATTATCTCCTGAATATATGTCCTTTTTTAAAAATATATATATATTTTGATTTTTTACAGAGAGGAAGGGAGAGGGAGAGAGAATTAGAAATGTCGATGAGAGAGAATCATCGACTAGCTGCCTCTTGCACACCCCCTATTGGGGATGTGCCCGCAACCAAGGTACATGCCCTTGACCGGAATTGAACTTGGGACCCTTCAGTCCGCAGACCGACGCTCTACCACTGAGCCAAACCAGTTTCGGCTATATGTCCTTTTTAACAGTTGATTTTAGAGAGAGAGGAATGGAGAGAAACATCAATGTGAAAGAGAAACATCGGTTATCTCTCATATGCACCCCAAACTAGGGACAGAACCCACAACCTAGGTTTTGTGCCCTGACCAGGAATTGAACCCACATCCTTTTGGTGGACAGGATGATGCTCCAACCAACTGAGCTACCAGCGAAGGCTCAAACAAACATTTTATAGTTGTGTAGTCATGGCCATTATGAGCATTTTAGTGAGAAAAGTTTGTGAATTACTTCTATTCATATCATTATTATATAGAGCAAAAGCCACATTTACAGAGCATAATTAAGAAATTGCTTATCACTTGCCCAGTGCATTGAAGACAGTTATAACGATCATGTATAAGAGAGTGTCTAAGAGTCAACACCTCAGAGTACGCTAAGGAGAAGTTAGTGTGATGCATCTTTTAACACCCAATGGTAATTCTATTTCTAGAAAATGCTCTCAAAAGCTCTAGACTTGGGTCATTTCAAAAAGTTTAAATGCATAAATATCTGCACCTATTACAAATCCCTGGTAAGCCTGGCCAGTGTTGCTAAGTGGTTAAATGCCAATTTATGAACCTGGCTGCAGGCTTGATCCCTAGTCGGGGGCATGCAAGAGGCAGCTGATCGATGATTCTCTTATTATTGTCTAGAGTCCCGATGCACAAAAATCGTGCACTGAGGCAGGCCTGTGCCCTCTTGTAGTCTGGGAGCCCTTGGAGGATGTCCAACTGACAGCTTAGTCCCACTTGGCAGTCAGACAACCTTAGCGCTGTCGAGGAAGCGGAAAAGGCTCCCGCCACTGCGGCTGAGCTTGCCAGCCATGAGCCCTGTGGGAGTGCACTGACCACCAGGAGGCAGCTCCCATCTTGAGTGCCTGCGACCTGGTGGTCAGTGTGTGTCATATTGACGGGTTGTTCTGCTGATCGGCTGATTTGCATGTAGCCCTTTATTATATAGGAGGATGTTTCTATCTCCCTCTCCCTTCCTCTCTGAGATCAGTAAAAGTATATTTTAAAAAAATCCTTCACAATGAAACAGAATGATAAAGCATGAATCCTCTTTGGCAGGAATACAATTTCTGTTATTCATCATAAAGGTGGAAGGGATAAACATGGTTTATAGCAAAGTTTAAAAATTAATATTCCAAACATTTACAATGAAATTGGTGAGATCAGTAAAACAAAGTATAAAATCTATGTTAAATGAAAGCAGGTTTGTGGAGAATTTCAAGAGTGTCTTTTTACCTAACAGTATTACTCTTAAATAATACATTTTAGACCCCCAATAACAAATACATAGTGCTACCTACTGTAACATTTATATATAATTTCTGAATAACTAAAGTAAGAATTTTATCTTAAAAGCAAAACTCAATTTCTGGCCCATGAATATCAAATTCATCATCACCGTTATTGGAAAAGAGATTTTTGAAGTTCTAATAATAAATAATATTATTAAAATCTATACCTTCAGTCTGCAGGCCAATTCTCTAGCCACTGAACCAAACTGGCTAGGGCTGTTTTTCTTATTATTAAGAGCCAAGACTTTATATTCAGTGTTAATTTGTACATATAAGTTCAACTTAAAAAAAAAATCAGAGACACAGATCAGTTGTCTGTAGCAACTGAACCCAAAACATAGGTAAGTGCCTTGACTAGGAATTAAATCTGCCACCTTTTGGTGTACAGGAAGACACTCCAGCCAGCAGAGCTACACCAGCCAGGGTCATATAAGTTCAACTTTTTCTTTAGTAAACTAAAGGTCTGTCAATTAAGTTTCATCATAGAGAAGAAATATACCTAATAAAATCCTAACTGCAGAGGAATATATGGAAGAAATCCCTCCCAGGTACCTTTTATATCTGTATTTCTTCGTAGCAGTTTGTCCACTTGAGAAATGGCCTCTTCCCAGCAATTATTGCTTGCTTGAACATGGGGCTGAATCAACTTTAATTTCTGTTCAAGGATTTGATAAGATTCTGACACTAGTTCTTGTGTTTCTTTAGTACAAACAAGCTTTTCAAGTTCATCTTCAAGAATTATTACCCTGAGTAATAAAGAAAAACAGTTTCACCGTGGAGATTTCTAAAATATAAAATGGAAAACTTATCATTTATAAGGTTTATTTAAGAAATAAGCTTAGAAGATTAAAAATGTTTTGGAGATGGAAGGTAGTGATGGTTGTACAATGTGAATATACTTAAAGCCTTGAACTGTACTGTTAAAAATGATTAAATGGTAAATTTTATGTTATGTGTATTTTATCCCACTTTTTCAAAAAAGCTTATAAACTGTCATATATTTATCCCCAAATATTGCTTGCATATATACTAGGCATGAACTGAAAGGACAAGTTGAACCCATCTTCTATTTACAAGAAACATAACTGAATCAGAGAAATTATATATATATATATAATATATAAAATATAATTATCATAAACAGTCATAATATTTTATTTCATTTACAGATGAGGAATTAGGTCCAGAGAGTTGAAGAAACTTGCTCAGAGTCATACAGCTGATAAACTGTAAACCTGGGTTGAATCCAGGCACAAAAGTATACCACAGAGAGATAAAAAGATAGTGTTTTAAGAATTCAGAAGAGGGGAACATGCTACCAGCAATGGGACAGGTAGGGAGTAGCAGAGGAAGAAGTTCTTTTGAGGGAGCAGTGAAGGAGGGATAAAATTGAAGCATGTTCAAAAGATGAGGAAGGTCACTCTACCCTACCTCCCATATTCCCTGTGGGCATATGGCAATATATACAGTTTGGCTGGATTGAAGGAAAAGGAGAAATCAAGACAGAAAAGCAGAGTGTAGTCAGATTATGGCAAACCTTTTTTACAGACTGTTTTATACAGATGTCAGTCTAAACTGCTATATTCTGAAACCAGTTAAGATTTTTTATTAAGTGAGAAAGCAAATATATGCCTCAGGAATCATCTAGCAGTGAGCACTCTGGAGGAAGAACAGTTAAAGGGTTGATATCCTCATGTAAGAAAGTGAGGGTGGGAATAGCAAAAGGAACAAGGGCAAAGGAGTGAAACACAATCAATTTTTAGATAACACCTCAAAGTTGTGTGTAGCAGTCTACAGATCAATACATATATGATAGTTAATGGCTGGTATACTCTCTAGTTAAGATACAGAATATTTCATTTTAAAAAATATATATTTTATTGATTTTGTACAGAGAGGAAGGGAGAGAGATAGAGAGTTAGAAACGTCGATGAGAGAGAAACATCGACCAGCTGCCTCTTGCACACCCCCTACCGGGGATGTGCCCGCAACCCATGTACATGCCCTTGACCAGAATCGAACCCGGGACCTTAAGTCCGCAGACCGACGCTTTACCGCTGAGCCAAACTGGTTTCGGCAGAATATTTCATTTTTAAGGAGAACAAAGTTCCTATCATAATCCACAATTCCCGATAAAGGTACAAAGCCCCTCTTTTTCATTTTCATATCTACACAGTGTAGCACTCTTCCTTCCCTGACCCACCCTCTCTCTTTATAATGTACTAGAGGCCCATGGGGAGCGGGCCTAAGCTGTCAGTTGGACATCCCTAGCGCTGCTGTGGAGGTTTCTGCCACCACCACTGTGCTCACCAGCAGTGAGCCCAGCTTGTGACTGAACTGTGCTCTCACTGACCACCAGGGGGCAGCTCCTGAGTTGTGCATCTGCCCCTGGTGGTCAATGTGCATCATAGTGACTGGTCCTTCTGTCATTTGGTCCATTTGCATATTTGCCTTTTATTATTTTTCCTCTTATGATTCAACCATTGCCACACACTCACCTTGGGACTGCTCACCTCCCATATTCCTTGTGGCAGACAGAGATGAGTCAGGTTAGCATTCACCTGCTTTCTTGGAATAGCTGCTACGGACCACTGGAACAGACCTACCTCATAGTGTCTTAATTTTTCCTTATGCCCTAAGCTTTACATCAGCCTTAGATACCTAATGCCAGAGCTTGAACTGATGAGTGAGAACTTTCCTCAAAATGTCTTTATGACCTTAACTTCCTATCTTTGAACACATCCTTCTTCAGTCCTTTTGATTTTACTGAGACTTCAAGCCTTTTTCGTTCATTTTTATTTTTCGTCTTACAAAACTGATTAATGGCCCTGGCTGGTTTGGCTCAGTGAGTAGAGCATCGGCCTGTGTACTGAAGGGTCCCTGGTTTGATTCCAGCCAAGGGCACATGTCTGAATTGTGGGCTTGATCCCCAGTGTGGGGCATGCAGAAGGCAGCCAATCAATGATTCTCTCTCACCATTGATGTTTCTATCTCTCTCCCCCTCTCCCTTCCTTTCTGAAATCAATAAAAATATATATTATAAAAAAACCAAACTGATTAATAGTCTCTCCCTTTCACTTCTTGCCTGGTATCCAGAGTAAAGCATCTAAACTATGATCATACCAACCCATTAAATTCCGATGACCTTCCTGATTACCAGCACAACATGAACCAAACCATTCATCTGATCCAGTCCTATACCACAAGTCTGTGTTCTGTACCATACCTGCTTCCAAGGCAGAGTGCCAGCAATTTCATGCAAAGTAGATCACCTAATAAGGACCCTACATTGTATTATCTAACTGGGACCAAAATACATGTCCTATGCTATGAAAAAAAAGAGTCCAAATCTATTGAATTCATTTAGAAAATAGCAATGTATTATTCCTTAACTATATATAACAATGCTTCTTATACTTTATTTTTCCAATGTTGGCAGATATTCTCTTAGATTGCAGGCTCCAGTTTAAGAGCCCTACCTAAAGAGAGTAAACTCATTCTTTGTAATCTCCATTGCAGCTCTCAAACAGAATGAACATCTGCTTTTGTCCTATCTTTCTAGGTTATCTGTTGAAATCAGGAAAAGTAAAAATTATAAATGTACCAAATTATAGTACTTAAAAATCATGCTTCTCCGCTCTATTTGTAAGTATAAACCATCTTTCATGCTGTATGTCTCCATTTTACTGCTTTTTTCTAGTTAGGACACAAGCCAAGAACCACAAAAGCCCAAGAATGAAGCTTGCTAATCTTGAGGACATTTCCTTATATAGCTTCTAAACTTACTCATTCAGTAATGCTTTCAGATGGAGCTGCAAACTCCGTACTGCTGTGTGAACATTATTCAGTTCTCTTGACTTCTGTTGAGTTTTGCATAAACGCTGGGGTACTGACTGGTGCTGAGTTTCAAAGTATCGATAAAACTCATAGCTGCGCTTAAGCTCTTCCAAGCAGGCAGAATGAGCATGAGGTAGACCCTGAGTCACATCAGATAAAATATGATGAGGCAAAAGTGCTGGAGTAAGTAAGGGCCCAGGAGGGGCATTAGCTGTAGAAAGTAATAGGGCTAACCGTCTGAAGAACTCTGAACTCTGTGCCACCCAGAGTTGGAACAAAACCTAAAAAAACAAAAAACAAAACCAAACTAGATCAATAAAATATATTAGCCAACATTCAAAACAAACTACAAATTTAATTTTTAGTTTAAATTTTCCACTTTATCCTAAGTAATGGATATAGCTGAGCTTGAATTAACTCTAAGATTAGCCAAGAATTATATATTAAATTATGTAGTTACTGCACATGGGAACTTCTGATCCCAATATAGCATGAAATACCAAAATATAACTTAGTACGGTTCTAGAAGGGACGTGTTGATAGACTGAGACACATTTATTACAAGTAAATATTGATTATTTTTAAATTTTACACAAAGGAGAAATGAAAACAGTAGGAATTATAGAGCTATATAAGTTCCAAGAAATGAGTTATTGATGAACCCAGATCTGGGGTTCAAAACTACACCATTATTTTGGCTTGGAAATAGTTAAGAAGTAACATAAAAATCAGTCCCACAGTGTCAAGCACAAAAGGCCCTAGCTAGTTTGGCCTGTGGACTGAAGGGTCGCAGGTTCGATTCTGGCCAGGGGCACATGCCTGGGTTGAGGGCTCAATCCAGGGTCGGGGATGTGCTGGAGGCAGCTGATCAATGATTCTCATCATTGATGTCTCTCTCTCTCATCACTTATGTCTCTCTTTCTCTCTCCCTGTCTCTTTTCCCCTCCTTCCTCTCCCTTCCTCTTTGAAATCAATAAAGAAATATATATTTAAAAAATAAAATTTATAAAAAAATTTTAAGTATTTTGATATCAAACTATAAGGATCTTCTTTTCCAATCTTTATGTTGTTCTCCACTTTTAAAGGCAGCTTTACAAACTTCAGTAAGGTTATTGCAGTAACAGTAATCAGCAAATAATAAAGAGAACAGGTGCACCATTTGTGTTCAAAAAGCACAGGCACAATCCAAGAACATCTACCTCTTCCTCACCCTTCCTTCCATTCTACCAATGGATTACCTTCAATGCTGGCAGGCTGAAACCATCTGTAAGGTTATGTGCTTCCTCTTCTGAAATCTGCTCGTCACTAAGTCCAAGGCCCAGCTCTTTAAAAGGCACCACACAGATGTAGTTGGTTACATTGTCACTCTCAGAGTTCAGGGGGTAGGTTAAATTAGGTTAAGGCAATCAACAAAGTCTTCATTAAAACATAAAAGGTACATTAAAATTGTCCAGCCCTACCAGTATGGCTCAGTAGTTGAGTGTCAACCTACAAAAGTAATCTTTGCATTCCATTTACTCATAATTTACTTATGAATCTTAAATAAAATATATTATATACCTTTATTTCCTAACTAATAGAAATAATTTTTTTTTTTAGTAAATTTAAGTGACCATTGCCATGTATTCTTTGTGTCAGACACTATCTAAATACTAACTCATTTGATTTTAACAAAAATACAGTCAGTAAGATTTTGTTAGTATTGACATTTTAAAAATGAATAAAGAAAGGTACAGAGAGTTAAGAAACTTGCTTAAAGTCACCTAGGCAATAACTGATATGCCCAAAATTTAAATGTCACTGATCTGACTCTAGGGCCTTTGTTTTGTGAAAGGAGAAGGATTTCCTGTTGCTGGTTTATTTCCATGTCATGACACAAATTTGCCATGTTCAGTAATTAAAAAAAACAAAACAGGTCTTTTGAATTTATTCTTTGGACCAGCAAAGGAAGGGATTTCAAGTTTTTTCCTTGTTAAAAATGAAAAACACGAGAGAAGAACTATCTTTTTGTCTGTTATTGCTTTTCCCCCTTGGAATGCATTTCCAGTTTTAAAATAGAAGTGCTGATGGAAATTAGCTTCAAAATAAGCAATTTCAGTTTACAGTCAACTTTACAGGATGCAACTATAATATCTATATTCAGCACTCTGGAAACACATCTTATTTTTAAATTTAGACCAAAAAAGGATATTTTTTCAGCATATATAGGGTAGCCAGCCTTGCTGCTTGAAAGTTGGCTCTTACAGTTCTGTAGACAGCTTTCCGAAGACCGATGAGATGCTGACTGGGATGCTGTCCAGCTTTATTAAATGGGCAAGCAGCACTGACCCTGTCAAGCAAACTTGAAAAGTAAAATGTGATACAACTGTACAGGTGTCCTAAAGTTTTTGTTTCCTAAACCCATAATTCTATTAAGTTTAGAAAAAAATCCTTTTCCATAATTTTCATTAGAAAATGTTTGTAAGTAACCCCACTCAGGTCTCATAAATAGCCATTTCCATGATACATATATAGTCACCAGAAAAAGACAAATGAAAAGTTTAAATCTCAAAGTGATGGCTTCCTCTGATATGAAGAAACAAAAACTTTATAGTTGAAAAATAGTAGAAATGTAGGAATATTTATGTAAAAAAATGTAAAGTTTTAATATAGATACTCTACCCACTAAAATATACTAGAGTGGTACTACTTTACATTAGTTTCCAAACCTTTATCTATAGTACGTATAAAAGCTTTAATTATAAACACTTTCACATTCTTAATATGCATTCATATATGTTCATCAATCATATTTTTGGCCACTTGTACAGAATACATTCTGTACATTCATAAAAATAGGGTAAAATGACTTACCCACCTGCTGCCACTGGCACTTACCTACTCAAAATGAAGTAGGGGCCGCAGAAAGATAACAGGACCAGTGGCCAACAGGGGAATGCAAGTAGAAAGGCAAAGTAAAGGTTACTATGAGGTTGCATAGCTACTCTCAAAACTGTTCAAGAGGAAGCACATTTCATAGCACTTTCCATAAGATAAGTGGGGAGTATCTATTTGAAACAATGACATATACTACATTATGCTTTTATAAATGAAACTATGAATAGTTACTAGATAAGAGAATTTTTCTTCACCTAACCAGTAACCAAAACAAAATACTGGAATTTATAAAATTTTTACACTATAACCACAAATTTGTAAAACAAGACATCTAACTCAAAACTTTAAAAATTTTAAATCAAACTAAAATATATTCAGGCATTAGAAATCTAGTAAAAAAAACAACAACAACGAGGACAATGACCGCTGGCTTATTTTAAAATAAAGGAATGAGGCAAAGGAGGTTAAATTATTTGCTAGAGCAGACAAATCGAAAAAAAAACACCAGTACTCATTTCTTTCAACATATGGCACTATTGTTGGTACTCCATTTTATTTACTAAATGAATTTTAAAAGCTAAAAATATTATGATTCAAGATCTACTATTGCTCATAACTTTTTTCAATCAATTATCCAGTTAGATGAAGACAAGCAAAGCACAATTTTTTCCCAGGATTTCTTCTGCCTGTCTGCATCTGAATAGACAGAAGTCAAAATCTGGAGGCAAATCATGTCTAACTGACCCAATTTAGCTCTTCATTCCTATTCTATACATATGGCTTCTAAAAGGTGGACAATGACAAAAGCACAGAATCCTCTATACATGCCCAAGCATTAAATGAATAAACACATAGCACTTTGCTTAATCTTTAAGTAGTCAGTTCTCTCAGTAAAGTCTTGTGCAAGTCAAGAATGAAAAGCCACTTTTATTCTTATTGTGATTTTTAACTTTTAAAACTTGATACTCAAACAACTTAAAAACTGCTATGCTCAGTCAAAAAGAAGTGAACATTGGAAGGACAAAAATAAACAAATATCAAGGACTGTTCCATTTTGAATTGAGCAGAAAGAAAAGTAATGAAGCATCTCTTATGCCTTTGGATTGTTTAAAATACTGTTTCAGAGCACAACAGTGAAGACTGCTGGAGATTATTCTACTTCCCTCTTCATGATTTTTCAGATACAGCTTTTATGCCAAGATCATTTCAGTACTACTTTAGAGCAGAGCACAGTAAAAGATGTGATGACTAAAAAAGGGTCTTCTACTCCCCTTTTGCATGATTTTCCAGATATAACAATAATTAAGAGCAATAATTATTCTGCACCATATATTTCATCATATTTCCTCCCACTTATAGATTGCAAAGGTTATATAAATTATTACGTATATACTACAATACAACTATCACCTGCTAGAGTTTAGCAGGCAGTCTGGTGTACTGCAATCAAGCTTTAGAGCCAGATGGTAAGGACTTGAACATCTGCTCTATAATAAACTGGTGCTGAGTAAATATAACTTTTCCTTTAATAATGGAATAAATAACCAGTATAACCTGCAGCTTAATACACATACAGCTAGACTGGTGAATATTTAATTTCTTGTGGGAACGTAAAACATCATCACTTGCATGATATTCTGACAATATTGGTGCCATAATATCTACTAACATTTACCTAAAGAATATTATTAATAAATGGCAAGAGTTTTCAAAATGAATTCATGTCAGATACAGCTATCAATTAAACTGAGGAAAGAGAGTATCTGACAGGAAGTAAAGAAAACAAGCATTTATTGGGTAACTGTATGTTGGGTTCAATGGTAGGTTCTTTCTCATTATCTCATAAAATTACAGGTAAATATACAGACATAATCATTATTCTCAAAGCACTTTGGTTTCTCAAAGTAGATAAGCAGAATCATATTACATATTAAATCTAACATTTATTTCTTTAGTGAGCAGTTAATAGACTTTAATAAGTGCTAAAGAGAAACCAACTTTTTTCCTATAAAAGCGATACAAAAATGAAAACAGGTAGTAAATATTCTACTCTAATTATGTAATAAAAAAGAATTATTTAAAAATAAAATAAAAAATGAACTCACAGTGTAAATCCTCTGGAAATAACTTCAGTTTCTTGAATGAGACGTAAAGCTTTTCTCACAAGATTAGTAAAAGCTCGGCCATTTGCTGCTGCATTTTCCAAACGGACATTGTATTTTTTTAGGGTTACTTGTAGTTTGGCTGTCCTCCATAATCTCAAAGCTCTTATGATCAGATAAACAAATAGAATCAAACCCCATACCAGCCAGGAAGAGAAAATCCACCAAGTGGGAAGCATAATAAGCAAACTAATGAAGGCAAATAGCATTGAGACATCCCTATAACAGAGGAAAAAAAGAAAACAATACCCATTAGAAAAGAGAAAGATGAGTTACTTTATCAGTAAATTAAGTTTCCTAAAATAAATAAAATTCCAGTTTCTTTGTAACATATGGCTTAAAAAATGACATTAAAAAAAATCATGTGAAAGCCCTAGCCGGTTTCACTCAGTGGATAGAGTGTCGGCCTGTGAACTGAAAGGTCCCAGGTTTAATTCCAGCCAAGGACACATGCCTGGGTTGTGGGCTTGATCCCCAGTGAGGGACTTGCAGGAGGCAGCCGATCCATGATTCTCCCTCATCGTGGATGTTTCTCTCTCTCTCTCTCCCTCTTCCTTCCTCTCTGAAATCAATATATATATATATTTAAAAATCATGTGAAATAGTTTTGAAATATCTAGCAACTAGAAATGGTCCTTAGGTATTAAAACCAAGTAATAAGTTTAGGTAAAGGATATAAGAAATTGGTGCCTTCTGAAATGACTTAGAGAAAACAAATTTTTTTTCAATTACAGTTGATATTGAATATTATTTTATACTAGAGGCCTGGTGCACAAAATCCATGCACTCAGAGGATGCTCCACTGATGGCTTAGGCGCGCTCTCTGCGGGGAAGGGAACTAAACTGGCAGTCGGACAGACATCCTTGCACTGCTGTGGATGTGGGAGAGGCCCCCACCACCGCAGCTACACTTGCCAGCCATGAGCCAGGCTTCTGGCTGAGCAGCCCTCCCCCTGTGGAAGTACACTGACCACCAGCGGGCAGCTTCTGCTTTGAGTGTCTACCCCCTGGTGGTCAGTGCGCATCATAGCAATCGGTCATTCTGCCATTTGGTTGATTTGCACATTAGCCTTTTATTACCGATATATAGGATTAGGTGGGCAGCACAGTGGTTAGACAACTAATAGCATTTATAAAGTATTACCCCAATAAGTCTCATATCCACCTGACAGTATACAGTTATTATAAGATTATTGACTATATTACCTATGCTATACTTTACATCCCCATGATTATTTTATAACTACCAATTTGAACTTATTAATCCCTTTACTTTTCTCATCAGTCCCCAACTCCTCTTCTATCAGGCAATCATCAGTTTGTGCTCTGTGTCTTATGAGTTTATTTCTGTTTTGTTTATTTCTTTTGGGTTTTAGATTCCACAGATAAGTGAAATCATATGGTATTTGTCTTTCTCTGTCTGACTTATTTCTCTTAGCAAAATACCCTTTAGGTCAAGACTGTAAAGATACAGACTCTTTAAAAAAATTTACAGATTAAAAAAATCCAATTTTATAAATTTAAAAGTAAAAATAGGCTAATTTTTACTAATTTTAATATTAAAATACTCTTAATATTCAAATATAATATAAGTTCCTTTTCCCTAAAATCAACTTTAAGTATTAAATATATAATATCTGAAGAAAATATAAGCATTTTTCCAATTAGAAATAATATATACTTCATGAGTAATTGTTTTAAATCAAGTCATCTAATTTTAAATCATCACCACAAATCTGGAATACACACACTTATACAGCAGACCTAATATGGATAAGCTTTGTGTTTTTACACTGCCTTAACTGAAGTAAAAATGTATATACACTTTTTTGCTTAGGTCAACTATAAATCTATAGATTAAAACACATCTTTTAAGCAATGAAGGTTCTGATGAAAACATGTATTTCTCATAAAAAGATAAATACAGAGGAGTTATGTCTGAACAACAGTATACTTGAAGATAGTCAAACAACAAAAAAAGTCTCATTAGGAGTGCTTCTTATTAAACATTTGCCTGCCCTAATTTCCCTTGAAATCTTTTACTTTTAGATGATACTGGTAATATCATAGAGTCAACTTTCATTATCTACTTGTATGTTTTAATAGAAAAGTCTGTAAGTATTTACAGACACTCAGTTTCTTTTCTTTTTTAAAATTTAATTCTTTATTGTTTAAAGAACCCCCCAGCATTTGCCCTCACCCCTGCTTTCCCCCCACCCCAAACCATCCGTATCCATTGGTTATGCTCATATAAGTGGTTTCTTAATCATATTTGTTGCTAAAGAAAACTTGAAAGTAAAATTCTTAAAACATATGGTTCCTTGTAGCAGTCCCTTAAGTTCTTACTTTTTGTTTTTAAAGGATAAGATGCTTTACCTCATCATACGATACAGGTTTGGAAAACATCATACTTTTCTATGTTAGAATATGAAGCAGCTAGCTGCCAGTGTGTCAGAAAAGACAGATAAATTCAGTACACTGAAGCTAATGAATATAATTGCCTGTATAACTTGAACAGTTGGAACAATGATTCAGTTCATTTAATAAACTCATATTTTAACAGGAAGAGGATATTAACAGTTATTTCTATATAATCCCTTCTTACCATTCCTCTTTCTTTTTCTTAAACAGATTATTCTGGGACTTCTTCATTAGATACAAATATTTGAAGTAGTTGAAAAGTTTTAGGATAGTGTAAATCATTAGACTATGTTCCTTATGACTCTTCTCAGCCAATAAAGCAAAAGGTGATCATTTACCTCCATGCCCCACCTACCCTCGTTATCTTTATAATGTGATTATGATATTGTATATTCTACTAACTATAAAGAACCAGCGAGGCCTGCATGCACACATGTGCATAGAGGTATATGGGTAAGACATTCTTTTTGGCACATGTCATAAATATATGTAAGCTATTAAAATACAGAACTAATTATAGTGGATTTGTTTCCAGCTTCATTTGAAATTGTATTCACTTTAGAAAGGTCTTTTTAAAAACCTTTGCATATCATTAATTACAATGCTATAAGGTATGGGATGTTTATTATGCCTTTACAATGGGGAGCATTATGATGGATTTCCTCTGAATACTCTATACAATATGCGAGCAAAGGATAGATGTTTTCTGAACAGTACCAAATATTAGGGGTTGCCAGGGAGCGAAGTGTTGGAAGGTGTCCATTTTCCTGTTGTTGAGGTTGCCCTGCAGACAGGATACTGGGATCAAGTAGCTCAATTAGCTCCACATCCTCTTGTAACAGGACTTCCTGTTGCAGGATGGTATGTAGTGAGTCAAGTCGGAATCCAATATCCTTGCCATTAAAAGACCAAAAGAGAGGTATTAATGCATACATAATTTTGCATTAAATGCTAAGCTCCTAAAGTACTAATAAAATTTAGAGATACTTATTTTCAGTATAAACTCCAAGAAGAAGAAACAACAGTCCAATCTACTGTTGAGGGGGTGTTTTCCCCCCAGACTGTAAATGTGAAATAATAAAGACTGAGGTGGATATTATTGGGCCACCAGATGTGAAATATAAATTTTTAATAAAAAGATGTGAACTACATATTTATAAACCTGTCTAGTTAAGCCCAGTTAATTAAATTGCTAGAACACACATGGAAAATATAATTCTGTAACGTTAAGATGCTGTCCCTGGATACTGTAACAGTATAGCCAGTATCTAAGAATTACATCAGCAGGATCAAGACCTTATAAAAATAGACATTCAGACATTAAAAATACATCATTAAGGAATGTAATATAAAACCACACTAACATGTGCATAGCATTTATAGTTTGCAAAATGCTTTCACATATACCAGCTCATTTATTCCTCTCGCCTTTCCTTCTATCCTTCTATCAATATACCAAGAACAAGACATTTAAGTCTCTACTCTTAAATAGTTCATAGTTTAATGAAGGACTAAAAAGTAAACAGTTGCAACACAATTTTGCCAAGAAGTCAATGATGTATACCAAGGGTATTATGAAAAGGTACCAAAACTTGCAATGAAGTCAGATAAAGTACAAGAGGTTATACCTGAGCTAAGTCTTAACGTAAGAGTAAGGACTGATCAGACGTAAGAGTTGGAAGAGTCAGATGAGACAGTAAAGCTTCTTTAGAACTGTAAGTCATCAATACTAATTTTATGCAGAGTGTTCATGGTAGAGGTAAGAGATGAGTTAGGAATGTTATAGCAGGTAGGTTAATTTTCACAGCAATCCTGTGATGTACATTCTCCTCCTCTCCATTTTATAGAGGAGAACACTGAAGTCCAAAGAGAATAAGTAGCTCTCCAGAAGTCTGATTTCAAAGCCTAAATCTCTAGTAGTCAGTTTTGCTTCACTGTACATATTCTGCTTTGTCAGAAAATTTTAAATTTTATTTTGTATTAAATTTAGGAATAGAGTGACCCTATTGTAAGAAAAAAATAAAGAGAACTTGTAATATTTTTTATTTCTATTGATTTCAGAGAGGACGGGAGGGGGGAGAGAGAGAGACAAAAAACATCACTGATGAGAGAGAATCATTGGTTAGTTGCCTCCACCATTTTGATCCCCATTGGGGATTAAGCCCGTAACACTGGCATGTGCCCTGACTGGGAATCGAACCATGACCTCCTGGTTCATAGGTCAATGTTCAAGCATTAAGCCATGCTAGCTGGGCATAATAAAGAGAACTTTTAAAGGGCAAAGCCTTTAGCAATTAACATAAAAGAGTTAGGTCTAGGGCAGTGGTCGGCAAACTTGTTAGTCAACAGAACCAAATATCAACAGTACAACGACTGAAATTTCTTTTGAGAGCCAAATTTTTAAAACTTATTCTTCTAATGCCAATTCTTCAAAATAGACTCGCCCAGGCCGTGGTATTTCGTGGAAGAGCTACACTCAAGGGGTCAAAGAGCCGCATGTGGCTCATGAGCCACAGCTTGCTGACCACTGGTCTAGGGTTTAAAGCAGTGGGTTTGCTTTTCTTGATCAGTTAATCATTCCTACACCACAGTGTTCAACCCTAGTTGATCATAATGGGGACTTAGTAGGAATGCAGTGATCCATATTCAAACTTGATCATGGGTTATATGCATGATCGGTATAAGTATTGCACTGTGTCCATCACCCAAAGTCAAAACATCTTCTGTCACCATATAGTTGGCCCCCTTTACCCTTTACAACCCCCACCCACTCTTACAGTTTCCTTATCTGCAAAATAAGTAGTACCAACTTCATAGGGTTGCTGTGATGATTAAATAAGTCAGTATTTGCAAAATATTAAGAATGTCTGATGCACAGTAAACACTATGTAAGTGTTAGCTGCTAGTGTTAAAACACAAAGAAAAGCATACAAAAAAAGCATACATAATATATAAAAACTTACAGATCACAGCATAGATAGTCATTACTAGGTTGTTGCAGAAAATAAGAGATCAGTGGGCTGAAGTTTCTGGGAAAGGCCTTGAAGATGAGCTAGGACTGTTAATGAAAAGGTTCTGATAATAGAGAAAAAAATGGAAGGAATTCCACCACAGTATAATAGCATAATTATAGGTATGGAATAAAGGAAAAGGAAGACTGGTTTGGTTGATGAAAATAAAGGTGGATAAGGCTAGGAAGGTAGATTAATGCCAACTTATGCAGACTCTTTTATGCTGAAGTGATTAATTGAATTTGAAATGATAGACAATAGGAATCTTTTTAAGGATCTAAATAGAAAAATGGCATGAGAAGGTAACTTAGGAAGATTTCTGCTTGGATGGAATGAAAGGGATGCAAAGCACAGCTAAAGAATAAAAGAGATTTCTATTTCTGCCTCTACTGATGGAGAAGGGAACTTATACATGTATCAATACACTTCAATGATCTTACACACTTTTAAATATATAATGCTATTTCATAAAGCTGATGAGGATAAAATAAGATAACACATGAAAGCACTTTATAGGCTAAAAAGTGCTAATATCACTACTATCATAGTTGCTATAAAGGCATTTATTTTTTAATACTATAAGAAAAAAACATAAAATATGTGGCCAGTGACAAAGAACCAAGAATGAAAAGATCAGGACTATACAGACTATGATTAAACCACAGAAAAATGTTTATGGATCCATGTACCTTATCACAGTCCTAGTATCATTGAAGAATGAGGATGGCTCCACCTGGATAGAGATGGTATTCTATGTAGTTGACAAGATACTTCATTGACCTTCTCAACACACCTATAAAGATGAAACCCTGAACAGAGAACTTGCCCTTTTGGATTGCTAAAAAAGTAATTTAAGTCAGTCAAAACATAATAATATTCAAGCTAGAGAGGTAGTGCATTATAGTACAGAGCCTTGGCTTAGAAACCAGGAGATCGGAATACAAATTCTGACTCTATCACTTTCTAGCTGATTCTTGAATAATTCACTTAATCAGTATTCTTAAATCAAACTGAGTGGTCTGAACCTCAGGATTTCCAGCTGGTGAATGCACCCAAACCTTAGTGTTTAGATTGCCAAATCAAAATGTGAAAGCACTTTGTAAACATTTTTCTTATAAATGATAATTTATAAGAATAACTAGTGGCCCAGTGTATAAAATTCATGCATGGAGGGGGGGTTCCCTTAGCCTAGCCTGCACCCTCTCCAATCAGGCAGCTCTCAGGGAATTGGGCCTAAATCAGCAGTCAGACATCCCTCTTGCAATCTGGGACCACTGGCTCCTAACTGCTCACCTGCCTGCCTGATTGCCCCTAACCCCTCTGCCTGCCTGCCTGATTGCTCCTAACTGCCCTCCCCTGCCGGCCTGATCTTGCCCCCAACTGCTGTCCTCTGCCGGCCAAGTTGGTTCTGATTGGTTGGTTTCTATGCCAATTAGCGTCAAAAGTTCTGCCTCCCAGGGAACCATTGGCTCCTCACACTTCACCCAGATTTGGTTCTGATTGATCAGTTTCTATGCCAGCATCTCTCTCTCTTTTTTTTTTTTAATCAATCTTTATTGTTCATATTGTTACAAAGGTTCCTCATTTCTTCCCCCCCCACCAGGTTCCCACCCCACCCTCCACCCCCTCCCCATCCCCCATTGTCCTCATCCATAGGTGCAGTTATTGTTCAGTCTCTTCCTCCTTCCCTCTCCCCGATAGTAAATCCCTTTTCAGATAGTAAATCAGTTACTTAGCATTTTCTCATATCAATAATACCACCACATGCCCAATGATACATTTCACACAAAAGACATTTCCAAATAGGTCAACCAGCCTCATCCAGGCCCCACCCAAGGCACTCACACTCACAGATCAACACAGATCAACACCCCAGCCCTATACTAACTTAACACATCCAGACCTAAGCCTTCATCACTTGATTCAGCAGACCCTCAAGTTCCCACAAAAGTTTCCAGCCATGTCTGAGAGGCAGCTGTGGGGCAGGGGCAGGGGCAGGGGCAGGCGAGGAGCGAGCTGTTCCGGGCCTGGCTGCTCCGGGCCTGTATGCCAGCATCTCTGGGCCCATCAATGGGGCCTGATTAAAAAGGTGGGGCTGATCAGCAGCCCCAGTGGAGGCCTGGAGAAATGGAGGTTCAGCTGCTGGCCAGACTGGGAGAGAAAGAGAGAAGCGAGTCCTGATCAAAAGCTGCCATAGAGGCAATGGTTGTATCTGCTTCTCTCTTTAGGCCTCTCTCTGGCCCTGATTTGCAGCTCTCTCAGTAGTCAGTTTTGGGGCACCACGCCTGCAGTGAAAGCAGCAACCCAGTGCTGACTGCAGGACTGACTTCCAGTTAGTTGAGCCTCCGTCATTACTGGACGTTAGGACCAAGAGTTTTTATATATTAGGATTATTATTATCTTAGGGTCATAGGCCAGCAGAGGATCCTGAAAGCCTGCTTACTTGTAATCTGATTTCTCCTACTGAGAACCAGGAGAACTTCATAAATTAAATTTTGAATTATTAGGATATAAAAACTTGAGGTACTCCTTCTTGGGGGACAAGAGGTCAGAGAGAAGAAAAAAAGCAAGCCTCACAGGAATCACAAAGACTGTCAATATTGACTATTCCAAGTCTCTGGAAAATTCTGTGATTTATCAGTCCTGGAGACTAAATTTTACATATGAAATTGTCAAACAATGGTAAATAAATTCATAAAATAAAACAAGCTGAAGTTGTCAGATTATTTAAATAAGTTAGGGAGGAACCACTTTTGATTTTGCCTAAATTATATAATCATTGATTGTGGGATAAGGATAAAGACAGTCATGTTCCTAATGAAAAAGAAGAAGATCCAACTAATGGATATATTCCTAATCCCTTCATTACTGAGAGAAGTATCTGTCAATGGAGGAAGATAGCAGTGGAAAATAGTATTCTAACAAATAAGGTTTCAATAACTACCAAGAATATTCTACTCTAAGTGACTAATAAATTCTAAGAACTATAAGATAATACGGAGCCCAAATGCAATTTGTTTGAAGAGTTTACTTTTTCTTTCTTATTCTTTCTTAGGTGACACAACCAACTTTATTTAATAATTCATGAAGTGGCCAAAACTGGTTTGGCTCATGGATAGGGCGTCGGTCTGCGGACTGAAGGCTCCCAGGTTCGATTCCGGTCAAGGGTATATACATTGGTTGTGGGCACATTCCCAGTGGAGGGTGTGCAAGAGGCAGCTGGTTGATGTTCTCTCTTATCTATGTTTCTAGTTTTCTATCCTTCTCCCTTTCTCTCTGTAAAAAATCAATAAAATAATAATAATAATAATAATAATAATAATAAATAAAGATAAATAAAAAGATATAAATAAAAATAATAATTCATGAAGTGGAAAATCTCCTTTTACAGAACTGCCCAGAATTTTTAATAAAAATTAATCACTGTCCAAATCAGTAGCAAGACAAATTCTAATTTATCAATTTTCTCACTAATAAGCTGGAGCCCTGAATATTGACAAAGAAAGTAAAATGAACACTCACCAATTTGTGAAGTAAATCATCTTTCTTATTGCAATGAGAAGAAATCCAACTTTTGATGGTTTCAGCCACTTTTAACAGAATGCCTCGCTGAAGGAGAAGAATGATATTACATTGGATTATTAAACTACAACCAGATAGTAGAAAAACTTCAAGTAATTACATCTAATGAATGTAATTATCAGGGTAAGGAAGAAAATCATTCAGGCTGCATGTTTTGTCAGTATGTCTCAGCCTCTTTTTTAGTTCCCAAATTTACTTACACATCAAAATCACCTGGATTTGATTTTAGTTAGAAACATATCCTGAGCTCCCAAACGGAAGGTTCAGATTCAGTAAGTTTGAAATGCGACTTGAAAATGTGATTTTTTAATGAGCCACCAGAGTCATCCTGATGTAGCCCATTTATCTTCAGTACACTATAAATTGTATCAAAATGATGATGGTATGTATTTCAGAGGAAAACCATAGGGTTCTCCAAGATCATTCCCTAATACTAAGGCAGAAAGAAATTTTAATTTTAGAAAAACTGTCTCATTGAAATAAAAAGCATATTATTGAATCACTCTCCAAATTCAATATACCTTAATAGTCCATTTCCTGAGCATGCCAGCAAATGGGAATTTACATTCACTGAGGGATTACTATGTCTCAGGTACTGAAAAACAATCATGGGAAGGAAGATGAATACACATAACGGTTGTCAAGAACTTGATACAGAAGAGACAGTACAAATAATTACAACCCAATGTAAAGTGTGAAAAATGTGGGAAAGGAAGAGGCCAAGGGGAGCTAACATTGGAACTAAGCCCTAACAGATGAGTAGAAATGTAACAACAAAGGAGGTTAAAACACTCCGGCAAGGAAACTGGATAATTACAGGAGAGAGCCACGGAAGAACATGCCATGGAGCTGGTGGCACAGTTTGAAACAGCTAGGGCCCAAGGGAAAAAGGGAATTGTAATAAAGTTAAAAAGGTTCACTAAGATGAGTTTGAAAGGACTTTGGTCTCATATGCCACATAGTTTAGATCTTATCCTATAGGCTGTGAGAAGCCAACTAAGGATTTGATGCAAGGAAGTGAAATAATAAAAATTAAAAAAAAAAATCAGCATTTTGAAAAATAACTGGCAACAGTTCAGGGGCTGTACTGGCAGGGAATGACTGTAGCCAAGAGCATGATTAGGAGAGCAGTCCAGCTAAATGATGACAAAGGCCTGCACTAGGATAACAAAAATGGTAATGATTAAGGTTATATTTTAGAGACATAAAAGCTGACTTCACATATCATTTTGTGACCAAATCAACTTGGGAGTGATGGGAAGTTGTAAGATAACTAGGAGGGTACAATTTGGAATTATATAAAAAAAATTTTTTGGTTTGTGGGGAGCTCAGGAAAACTGATTTAGATCTGTTGAATCTGAGTTTCATGGGGCACAGTTAAGTGGAAATGTCTAACAAAGGTCTGGAACTCAGCGAAGATGGAGAATAGATCATAAGTGGCCAATGAAGGCAAGAAAGTACAGGGGATCTCTCAGAGAAAACAGATCAAGCAGAGAAGAGGCCTGATTCTAAACTTCCACTGCAGATACAAAAAAAGGGGGTCCTCATGATTTTTGTCTGTCTGATTATGGCAGCCAAGATTGCATGGGGGAATATAGGAAAAACATGGGAGTCTTTGCAACTCAGAAATAACCTTGTAAACAATAAAGAGCCTATTTAATGTCAAAGAAAATTAAATATGAGTTTATAAGAGAAGTATTCTCCTACTGATGGAGTTTTAAAAGCTTAATGGCTAAAATCAATTAAAGGCAAACTAGTGACTCTCAAAAAATAAAATAAATAATCACAGGAAAAGAAATCAGAAAAATGTACAGACAATAAATGTGATAATACCATGGTGATAATACCAGTACAGACTACTCAGTAAGTACTTCACAATCACATTAAAAAATAAAGTTAAAAAAGGCAATAAATATTAAGGGCTGTTTCATCATGAACTCACATTATACCAAAAAAGTTGCTTTCTAAAAAAATAAGTAACTGATACTTTACTGTTTGAATAAAATTTTGAGGGGAATTCCAAAAATATATCACTGAAAAGGAACTAAATTTCTAAAATTTAGTTGCCCAAAATTTAGAAAAACTTCATTTTAGAAAAATATAGCTCATACAGTAAGTGAAGACTAAACAAACTTTCTAGACATGTGGTAATTTTGAAAAACATATCTGGTATGCTTTTTACTGTTCTACAATTTCTGAATGAATGAATTTTTAAACCCTCATTTTATCCTATATAATAAAAGCTAATATGCTAAGTGTCTGGTCATCTAGTTGTCCGTTCAACCAATCAAAGCATAATATGCTAATGGTATGTTAAGGTCACTCAACCACTTGCTATGATGTACACTGACCACGAGGGGGGACAGACAGTTAGTTGACTGGCTGACCAGTCACTATGACGTGCACTGACCATGAGGGGGAGTATAGTCAACCAGTCAACTGGTCACTATGATATGCACTGACTTCCATGGGGTAGACACTCCGACTGGTAGGTTAGCTTGCTGCTGGGGTCCAGCTGATCGGGACTGAGCGAGACGGACCAAACATGCCATGGAACCTTCCTGTGGTCCCTCCCCAGCCATGCACCAGTGGGGTCCTTTGGCCTGGCCTGAGCCCTCTCCCAATCCAGGCTGAGGGACAGCCCCATCCCCAGCCCCGAGTCCACAAATTTTGTGCACTAGGTCTCTAGTTTATTTATAAACTAATAACATTTCTATATGTAAAAATACCTGTCATGAATGAAAGGACTGAAAACCTACCAGAAACAACACACACACACACATACACACACACACACACACACACACACACACACACACACACACCCTGAACACACACAAGTCAATGTAAGTTAATCCCATGTCCCTTTCTTTGTCTTTTCTTGTCAAGTAATCCCAAATTAAAGTCTTAATCTATAATCTATTAGATATATCTGTAGGTTTTCCTTTAAAAACTCTTCCCAGGAACATCCATATTTAAAAGGAGCAATGAGCAGGAAGAGTTTAAGTACAGAGGACTAATAAACTGATTCTGAACCATGTGAGCTCTAACTCTAACTCCTACCCTTTGGTTGTTAGTAAAAAACAAAAAACAAAAAACAAAATAATAAACAATTTCTCTGGTATTTACTCTGCTATTGCAAATGAGCCTAGCTTGGTTACCTCACTTTTAGGGATTTTTTAAAAAAGACAGGAGAAAAGACATCTATCACCCCAGAGTAAATGAGTAATTGAAAACTTTCAAAGCTACCTCCCAAAAATAATTGATCTTATAATAAAACACTGATTAAACTAGAATGCTCAAAAAATTAGGTAACCTGGTTATGTTTCTCTATTAAATTAGAATTCTTTGTATAAAAACAGAATAGTTTTTAAAAATAAAACAAAAGGGTCCTTGATCCTCTCACAGTCAAGGACCCCTCGGGGATGTCCGCCTGCTGGCTTAGGCCTGCTCTCCGTGCCTAAGCCAGCAGTTAGACATCCCTCTCGCAGTCTAGGAGCCCTTGCTCCTTACTGCCCTCCTGCTTGCTGCTCCTTACGGCTCAGCTCACTGCTCCTTAGTGCTGCCTCGGAGGCCAAAGAGGCTACTGCTTCCGCCGCTGTGCTTGCTTGGCTTCTGGCTGAGCAGCATTCCCTCTGTGGGAGCACAATGACTACCAGGGGGTAGCTCCTGTGTTGAGTACATTCCCCCTGGTGGTCAGTGTGCATCATAACAGTTGTTCTGCTGTTTGGTCAATGTGCATATTATCCTTTTTTTATACAGGATAATTTATGGAGATTCTTTTAGCATCTTAGCCTTATAATGTTGTACAGAAACTATGAGGTGTCCTATCTAATAAAGGGGGAATATGCTAATTGACCATCATGCTTTCACAAGATGGTGGTGCCCACAGTCAATAAAGAGGGAATATACTAATTGACTGCCACACTCTCACAAGATTGCAGCACTCATAGCCACAAGATGGCGGTGCCCAGTCCTCCCAGATCTGCCTCATCTAGCCTCAGTCCCAGTCCCATCAGCCCAACCTCATCCAGCTGGAGTCCCCCAGTCCCCTCTGCCTCGCAGGGGAGGGCAGCTGGGGACAATCATGCCAGCAGGGGAGCAGTTAGGCATCAATCAGGCTGGCAGGGGAACAGTTAGGGGGCAATCAGGCAGGCAGGTAGGCAGGCGAGTGGTTAGGAGCCAGCAACCCCAGATTGTGAGAGGGATGTCTGACTGCCAGTTTAGGCCTGAGGGGTCCCATATTGGAAAGGGTGCAGGCTGGGCTGAGGACACCCAACCCCCATGCATGAATTTTGTGCAGCTGGTCCCTAATGTATTATATAAAAATATGTAATATTGCAAACATAAAAAGCATTAGAAATTAAGGTAAGTATACTCACTCCATCACATATCCTTGAAACTGTTTATGAAATACCTTATCAATGTGTTTTCTTATAATTTGTGCTCTTAAAAAACACATTTAAAGAAAAAACAATTCCAGTTAATATAACAGCCCTAGTAGTTGGGTTCTCATTAATGTTTTAGTATTTTTCTGGTCCTCTCCAGATAACTTCAACATTTAAATAAATAATATATTTTGATCTTCAACCATATTCATTTCCACTTACTATATAAATAACCCATGAGATAGTCTGAAACAGCAAGGATTCATGTTTATCTAAACAGGAAGTTTTGCACTACTGATGAAATAAAAATAAAGTCTTACCAGTGTGGGGGAGGACAAGGTGTTTTTGTTTTTGCTTTTTTGTAAGGCAAAGAACAAAAGATTAAATCGTAGAGAAAGAGCATGCTTCCTTACTTTTGGCAGGGCTCTTGTAGGAGACCTTTGTTGTCCCTCTGCCACTGTGCATTTTTCTGCTTTTGGTGACAGAGAAGAACATGTTTCAAAGTCTGTGTGCCCCAGATCCTGTAAGTACTGGTAAAGTGGAGAATTCTGAAAGAGATATCAAATAAAACATATATCAAGATCATTATTATTTCAAGTTTTAGAGGCCAAATTCAATGCCAAACATCACTATCATGACCAGTATGCCCAAATTCTTTAAGGTTTAATCTATAAAGAAGTGAATTATGTCACAATACCATCTATACACATAAATAGGTAATATGCTAATTTGTTTGTTACAGTGTCCCAGTCTGTAGGTTGAGGACCAGGGTAGGGACTTCCACCCCCAGCACTAACGTTAAGCTGTCTGTGTGCGTCCCCGCCCAGTGCTGAAGTGAAGCTGCCTGACTGCAACCCTGGCTAGGGATGTGACACTGCCTGCATGCATCCTACCCAGTTCAGCACTGACATGACACTGCAGGGGGATGGGGAAGAGATGGTACTGGGCTTGACAGGGGACCTCAGGCCATGGTCCACGCCAGGGAGGGCTTGAAGGAGGTAGGGCCGGCCGGATCTGGGTCTCACCCAGTAGGGGTGGAGCTGACCACGTTTGGATCTTCTGAGTTTTGAAGTGTGTGAAAGTGGTGGACAGAGACTTAACTCTCGGTCCCACAGCATGCCCCAAACTCTGACTGGAGGGAGATTTAATATACATTTTACTAATTTTCTTTCATCTCTGACACTTCTATTATAGAGAAAGGGCAAATAGCAATAATAAAATATTTCTTCTAATTAATTCCCTTTTAATGTGCACAAATTTTGTGCACTGTGCCACTAGTTTAACATTAAAAACACACACCAACAAACAGTTTAACAGAGGGATCCAAAAAAGGGGAAAACTAAGTAAAACATATGGATATTTTTGAGTATCAACAAAGAAAAATTAATTTAGGAATATAAATAGATTTGTTAAGAAATTTCTTTGTCCAAATTTTTTTAATATTAGAGTAAACTGCTTCAAAATAGCCAATCCTGGCTATAGATAGTTCCTAAGGAGATTTATAGTGAAAAACAGTTATTAATTGAAGACAATAAGAATTAGGAAATGATAGTACAGTATTAATTATAATTGTATCATGCCATCATATTCACTGATCTAGTCAAGCACAAATATGTATTATTATAATATACTATAAATAACACACATAGTACCCAGCATGATAAAAAAAAACAAACTTAAAACTCCAAGAAAGTTAACTGAGATGAGTTATGTCCAAGCATATTAAATGAGAGACAGTGTAGTTAATAAAAGCATTAGAATATAGTGGTTAAAGACAGAAACTCTGGATCTGGACCATAAGTTCAAATTCCAATTCTTACTAGCTGGGTAACTATGGTAATTTATAATCTTTTCATGCTCCAGCTGTCTCAACTAAAGATAGGAGGAATAATATTACCTAGTTCATAAATATAAAGCACTTAGAACAGTACATGATATTATAGATAATAAGTACTCAATTTATACTTTAACTTTATATAGGTTATGTGAAAAGAGCACAGGTTTTGGAACAGATGGGGGAAAAAATCACACACACACACACACACCCCCCACCAAACAGAAAGATCACCATCACTACTGGATGAAATTTATGAAACAACTCTTTCTAGATAGAAAAAGCAAAATTTAATTTTAACTTAGTTTTCTCTGAAGTACAAAGTTAGTGATATGTTTAAAAATAAACCTTGATCCCCTCTTATATACATAAGAGGCTAATATGCAAAGTGTCCCCTTGGGAGTTCGACTGGAAGTTCGATTGCTTGCTATGACATACACTGACCACCAGGGGGTGGCGCAGAATGAAGGAAGGCTCCAGCTAGGCAGCTGGGGAAGGAAGGCCCCAGCCGGCAGTGGGAAAGCCTTGATCAGCCTGGTTGCTGGCCAGACCTAGGGATCCTACCTGTGCATGAATTTCGTGCACCAGGCCTCTAGTATTTATATTTTAAAAAGACCTTATGTTAGGTGTCAGAGATACAAGAACAGCTATCACCAAAACAACAGCAACACAGTTGACCCAAACTATGTGGCAAAAGCTTAACTAAGCATTTTACATGCATCATCTTAGATGAGGCTCACAATCTTCTGTAATAATAAAAGCATAATATGCTAATTAGACTAGATGACCTTCCAGACGAAGCTAGGACAGGTCCTGGGTGCCAGGGGGAAACCGATGCTGGCAGCTCGGGGAAGGAAGGCCTACTCTTGCATGAATTTTGTGTATGGGACCTCTAATAAACTCTATAAGATGTATCATCATCACCATCATCTATTGTTATTCCCATTTCATAGTTGAAAAAACATTCACTCAGGTCTACCCCTGTATTTGGAATACAAAGTGTTCATTATTTCTCTTCTGCTTAGTCACCTAAAAAACAACATCTATGATACAGATATTCTATTTTGCTATTTTGTGAGCTGTAACATAAACTGGAAAAAAAACCCCACAGCATTATAATTTGAAAAAAAGAAGTTTGGACTCATCCCCACCTCCAAGCCTCTTTCCAAAAAACAGTTAGGATTCAAGAATGTGCCTCACAAATTCAAGTGAGTCTTTAATTAGGACAGGAGTTAGCAAACTAAAACTGTTGGATCAGATTTATCCCCCCTTCTATGACTATTTTTATATGATTGGGAACAAGAAATGGTTTTTACATTTTTAAATAGTTGGAGAAAATATCAAAAAACTAATATTAATTTTGTGATACATGAAATTTAAAAGTTAAAATTTTTCATAAATAAAAGTTTTATTGGAATATAACCACACTTATTGATTTATGTATTGTCTGTGGCTGCTTTCGCACTATAGCAGCAAAGCTGAGACACAGACCATATGGTCTGCAAAGCCTAAAATATTTACTATCTGTCCTGTTAAAGAAAAAGTTTGATGACACTTGAATTAGTGTAATTCCACTTTGATCCATCTTATTTATTGTTCTTCCCTATGGAAGTTCATTTGAAGAAAGGATTCTACTGCCTTAAAAACAATTTTTTTTTAAAGTATGTAAACTTTTCGAAAGAGAAACACCACATGATCTCACTCATTTGTGGATAATAAAGAGCATTATAAACTGATGAACCAAAAGATATAGAGACAGTATATCAACAAGTAGACTGTCAAATTACAGCGGGGAGGGGAGGAAGATCTGGGGGAGATAATAGATCAACCGAAGGACTTTTATACATGCATATAAGTACAACCAATGGACACAACTCTGGGGAGGGAGGGGATGAGTGGGAGGGAGGGAGAAGGGCAAAAAAAAAAGCAATAAAATATATTAAAAAAATAAATAAAGTATGTAAACTTTTCAAAAGGTCATCCAAATGAACTAGCATTCTTGTTCTTTCACCACTCTGATGGTTCACAGTTTAGTTTGAAAACACAGATTGAGTAATTCAAGGCAATATTTGAAGATCTACTATGGGTGATCCAAACTGAGTATGAATGCTTAGCTGATGTGCAGAATATACAGTATTAATGTAAATAATGTAATTTTAATGAAAATTTTTTTTCCAAAATGGAGGGAAAGAAGGAATTAAGAAGAGTGTATTGCTTCACATTTTTGCAAATCTTAACTGTCTGGTTTAATAACAGATAGGTGGATTCTTATATTTGCTTCTGCATTCAATCTGCTGCAATTTATTGTTTTGGATGAAGTATATAAAGAAAATCACACTTTAAACATATATAGTTGGAAAGGGAATAATGTTTTAAGTCCTTTCTGATAATCGTATTATCAAAGAATAGCCATATTGATGAGTTTTTCACACTCTGTACAAGCACAAGAGAGTAAAAGTGAAAAAGGCAGATAACAGATAATGTCTTGGTATTAAAACCTAATTGCCCAGTATAAAATAACTTACTTTTAGTTTTCTTTTACAACAGCAAGGTGAGGCTCCCTATTGTAACAGCCCTCATCCATATATTTGAAGGTTTGGGGCTCTACGGCTTATAGACTAATACACAGACATTTCTATGATTCACATAGTGAGCATTATTATAGGTTGATGGCAGCTTTAGAAGGATTTTGTGTGCATGCAGAGGGTAAGGCAGAGTAGGTGGTGATAGGTAATTTTCTCTTTTATAACTTTTCTCCCTTGGTTCAAGCACATTAGAGCCACAAATGTTTCAGTTAAGCTGTTTCCTTGAAGAGAAATCATCAGCACTGAACTCAAAGTATAATTCTGTAGTATTGGAGAATGTTACTGCTGCCAAAAGAAATATGAGAAACCCCAGACACAGCATGTGGGAGCTTCTCCTCAGGAAATCCTTGTGGTTAACGATTCCTGTAAAATTCAGCTGACAGAAAACACACATCACAGTACCAGAAAAATTTTACTTAATGAATGATAGCCAAGAGTTTTTGGTTGTGCTGAGATTGTTCTGATGGTTGAAACATATTCTTGTAAGAAAAAATAAACAAAAATAGAGAGGAAAACAACAACATTTTTGCTGAACAAGCAGTTCAAGGAAATGACTCATTTAAATCCTGGGCTTATACTTCTGCACCTCCTCCCCCATTAAACATAACAGACCCCATTCTAATGCAATGTTTATTTTCTGCGTGATTTATGGTGCATTCTGCAGTTATTGCTAATTTGCATTTAAGGAAGGTTCCTGGCCAGCATGGCTCAGTGGTTGAGCATCAACCTATGAACCAGGAAGTCATGGTTCAATTCTCATGCAGGACTCAGATCGCAGGCTTGATCCTCAGAAAGGAGAGTCGGGGGGGAGGGGGCGGGGGGGGAGAGGGAGGGGAGAACAGGAACAATTATAATATCTGAACAATAAAAATTTATTTAAAAAAAAAAAAAGGAGAGTGCAGAAGGCAGCCGATCTATGATTCTCTCTCATCATTGATGTTTCTGTCTCTCTATCTCTCCTCTCTGACATAAAAATAAATAAATAAATAAATAAATAAATAAATAAATAAATAAATAAATAAATAAGGCAAGCCCTAGCTGTTATGGCTAAGTGGATAGAACCTTGGCCTACGGACTGAAGGGTCCTGGGTTCAATTTGGTCAAGGGCACATACCTTGGTTGGAAGTTT